CCTCCTCCTGCCCCTCAGGGTCAGTAGCAGTGCGCGATGGTCTCCATGTTGAGGAAGCGGACGTGCATCTTGGTCTCGATGTCGATCCCCTGCCACATCTGCAAGGGGCCGGGGGTGAGCGGGGCCGGGCTCGGGCTCCTGGCGGGGAGCTGAGCCCGGCCACCAACCTTCAGGAAGTCTTCGAAGGTGATGCCCTCGTACACCTGGTCTGGGCCCTGTGTGCAGCAAGAGAGAACGCGTTATGGATGCGCCCACGGTGCCAGATCCCCTGCGGGCTGGTCCCTTGGGGCCACGGGACGTGTCCCCATGGGTGCACAGCCCCATGACCAGCCCAAGAGCAGCTCCCAGCCAGCGCAGCATCCCTCTCAGTACAGCAAGGATCCCTCTCCCACCATTTGTCCCACGCAGATGCTGGCTGCCTCCATCATGGCCCCGTCGGCGATGGAGCGCGCCGACTCCTTCTCCAGGTGGGGGTTCCCGGACAGCAGCTCCTCCACCACCTGCGGGGCAGCGGGTGAGGAAGGGGCTGGCACCAATGGGTCCCAGTGGGTCCCAGCCACGTCCCCCCCCTTTCCACGTTACATTTCGGTACTCCTGCAGCGTGATCTTCCCGTCGTGGTCCGAGTCGTACATGTGGAAGAGGACTGGCAAGGACAGGAGGGGGGTGGCAGGGTCAGACCCCTCCGTCCCACCACCCCGCGGCTGCCCCGCGCTCGCAGCCGAGCCTCACATTTGAGTTTCTCCTTCCGGAAGCGATCCAGCTGCTCCTCGTCCATGTTCATCTCGATGGGTCTGAAGTAGGACATGATGGTCAGGAAGTCCTCGAAGTTTATCTCATCCGCCAGCCCCGATGACTCCTGCCGCAGGTTCCTGCCGAGAGCGGAGCCACTGGGGACGGGCGAAGCCGTGAGCCCCTCACCCCATCCCGCCCCAAAGCTTTTGGGTCCCTGTGGCCCCGGTGCCACTCAGCCATGGTATCGTGTTGCTCAGAGCTGGCACCAGCTTTTTCCCCAAGACTCAGCTTCAGTTTCCATAATTTCCAGCCTGGCTCCATCTCAGCCCTCGGGAACGGGAGCTTTAAAACCTGCCCTCAGCATCCCTCACGCAGGAGCTGGCCCCAGCCCTCCCCGCGGGGCCAGGGGTGCTCTTACCGCTTGTCAAAAAAGGCATGGACGATTTTGGCCCTGATGGGGTTGAACTCCAGGTCGGGGATGCTGTCGAAGTTCTCCTTGCTGCAAAGAACAAGGCAGAGACAGCAGAGGAGGGGGCAGCGCTGCAGCAGCCCCTGACGGGCTGGGACAGAAATCCTGGCCCCGTCCTTCCAAAGCAATCACAACAAGAATGATTTTGCATGAATTTGCCCCAGTTCAGCATGAAAGCAATTTGAAACTGGGGAGAATACAGTTGCCAAACCCACTGGGGCTGCTATTGAGCAACCTCATCTCCTCCCTCCCCAAACTGATTTTTAGGGCTGGGCTAAAGGGGAAGTTTGGCAGGGGCGATCTTGCTCCCAGACCACTGCTTCACCACCTCTTTCTTCTTGTTTGCAATGCTGCAGCCTTCCTGGGATGGCTGGGAAGGATGGCACGGCCGGGCACCCCCCCATGGCAGCCTAAAAGTGTGTGGGGGGTCTCCCTGCAGCAGGGAGGGGGACGCCGTACCGGATCGTCAGCTGGTCCCGGCTCAGCTGCCTGAATCGCCGGTGCAGGTGCTCGATCTGCTCCGAGGTGACTGCCGATGGAAAAAGCAGAGGAGAACGGGGCTGAGCTCCCCACGGGACACCTGGGGACACCCAGCTCGTGTCCTGCCAGGGGGCACAGCCCCACTGCCACCAGGAGACCGCTGGGCACCAAAACTTGCTGCAAAGCCTGGGGACAACACCAAAGCCCCCCCAGCCCCAGCAAGAGCCAAAGACCCTCCTGCTCCTGCCCCTGTTCCTGCTCCTGTCCCAGCAAACTGTCCCCAAGCATTTGCAGCCTGGGGTCGGTGCTGTTTCTTTGCTGCATGCTGGGAGGCTGATGGGACACAGAAAACAACACAAAAAGAAGAAACCCCCCCCAAACTGACAGCAGCCACCTGTGTACCATCGGGGAGGAGGAAAGGCTGGGTGGGGGGAGCTGCACTGGAACCCAAAAAACAAAGGCAAGCTTCAAACCACTGATCCCCGAGGGCTGTCCCACAGCCGCCTCGCTTCACCGCGGGGTTTTATTTTATTTTGTTCTCCCAGCTGCTCCCCACGGGCTCCCCAGCCCCACAACCCCCCGAGGCGGCACCAGGCTGGCGCTCTGCTGCAAATATTGACAGTGACAATTCCCAGGAGCCCAGGAGCCAACAGCCCGGGGCTGTTTGCGGAGCCGGCACCGCCGTCAGCCTCCCCTGGCTGCGTGGAGAAAGAGAAAAAAGCATCCGAAACTACAGAGAAAAGCATCCTGAAATACAGCTGGGGGGCTGCGAGTGGTTAACTCCGGCAGCTGGGCGACAACAGGTCAATACCAAGCCCACGCTGGCTGGCTCTCTCTCTCCCTCTCTCTCTTTTATTATGTTTAAATACCGTCCCTCGCTGCTTTTTTTTTTTTGCTGTTGTTTCGCAGCCTTGAAATAGAAACCGTATTGATCCTGCCGAGCATTTCCAGAGCCCTATTAATGCTCTGGAAACCCACCTGCGCCTCGCGGCGGCTCCCTGCCTGCCCGCGCTGGCAGCTCGCCCTTTCCCCTCCATGGGATGGGGCTGGGGGGCTCTGAGCCCCCCCCCCACTACAGCCCCCAACCCCATCCCTGGCTCCCCAGTGATGCGTGGGCAGCCCCATTCACCCTTATGAGTTGTTTTTTTTTTTTCCCCCTAACTCCTTCTCCCCCCCTGCAGTCCCCAATCCCAACCCTGGCTTTGCGGTGACGCACGGGCAGCCCCATTCACCCATAAGAGGTTATTTTTTTTTTATTTTTTTATTTTTTCCTAAATCCCTCTCGTGCCTTGCTGCTGTCCACGCACATGGAAACTTTCTCTGGCCTCCACTTTCCAATTTTGGCTGTGGTGCCGTGACCTTTCCCAGCGCCCCGTGCCAGCATCGCCGGCGCCGTGGGAGCAGCCGGGCCACGGAGCCGCCGGCATCGGGGCTGTGGGTGCATCCCCAAAGCTTTCATGTCCCAGAAAACACCTCTGGGACAAAAACTTGGACCACCGGACGGATGCTTGTGGGTCCATCCCCGCGTCTCCCCCTGCTCCAAGGCAAAGGGAGGGATTTTCCTCCCTTTTTCCCCAAACCCAGGCTCCTGGGAAGGGCGAAAGCGCTGCACCTGCCCAAAAAGGGCAGAGGCTGCCCGGCAGGAGGACGGCCTCAAGGGCAGCAGCGGCTGCTGGCACCGCTGCGAAGCATCCTCAGCGCTCTGATACAGCGGGCCTGTGTCCAAGCAGGTGGGGGGAAACATAAATATATATATTAAAAGGAAGGTTTGCTGCTTCCCAGCATGCGGCTGTTTGTGCTGCTTGAGCTAAAGGGGATGCTCCGGGGAGGGGATGCTCCAGGGAGGCTCTGTCCTGCCCCTGTGGCCTCTCACCATGGCCAGGAGTGGGCATGGTCCCCAAAAAAGGGCTCCCAGCACCATGGGGACACCTGCAGCCTCTGGGCCTCGAGGCACAAGGGTGCACGGCCCCGTCCCTGAGCCCTCCCCAGCAGCCGGACCAGTTGATGCAATCCCCCATCCCCTGCCCTCTTGTTTTAACGGGACTTTTTTGGGAGCTGCTTTCTGTACGCCCTGCTCTAGGACTGACCCGTGATGTGGGTGCCGCCCTCGGGCATCCTGGCAGCACCCCCAAGCCGGGACATTCCCCAAAACCCACCCTACGGCCCCCTCCTGTCTGCCTGCAGGCAGGGCTGGGCTCACCCTGGGGTCCCCGGTGGGTGCTGCGGTGCCCGGCCCTTGGCCAGGGAGGAGGAAGAGGAGGAGGGGGAGGAAGGCGCAGGAAGGGCGATGTGCCGGACCCCTGCACCCAACCCCAGCAGAGCCCCCTCGCCCCCAGCCCAGCCCGCTCTGAGCATCCTGAGGCAATGCCATCCCCCGAGGTGCCACAGAGCCCCCTCCAGTGCCATGTCCCCCCTCCCCATGTGCCACATTCCCCCCAGGTGACACGCAGCCCCCCCCCCCAGCCAGGTACCATGTCCCCATCCCCACACAGCCCCCCCATATCACACACCCCCTCCGCTGCCATGCCACCCCCCCCAAAGGTGCCGCATCCCCCTCCCCATCCCATATCCCCCCCCAGGTGCCATGCGCCCCTCGGTGCCATGCGCCCCCCAACGTCCCCTACCCCCTCTCCATCCCATTCCCCCCCAGGTGCCGTGTCCCCCCCCTCGGTGTCCCCCCCCCGGTGGCACTCACAGCCGGTCCTGTCGGCCAGCGCCCGCATCTCGGCGGGCACCGAGTGCGCGGAGCCCATCCCGGGCCGTGCCGGGCCGAGCCGGGCCGGGAGGCGGCGCGCCGGGGGCCGCAGCACCGGGCTCCGCCGCCGCTAAGGGCGGGCGCACGGGGAAGGGAGGCGGCGGCGGCGGCTGCTGCGGGGCTCCCCCGGGTCCCTGAGCTCCCCGCCGCCTCGCCGTCGTTAGGTTTCAGAGTTAACAGCCCCCTGCCGGGGAGAGGAGAGGCCGGGGGATCGGGGGTGGCTGAAGGCAGGGGGGTAAAAGGGGGTCCCCCGGCCGTGCCGTGCGCCTGTGACCTGTGGAGGGTGGGGAGATGGAGGGAGAAAAATGTGGGAGGGGGAGGCAAAAGTGGTAGGGGACCCCCCCCCAAAAAAAAATAAAGGGCTGAAATCCTTCCCCTGAGGCTATGAGCCCAGCCGGGGGGGCTGCAGCAGGGAGCAGGGGGGTTCTGGCACCCTCAGCCTCCGCCAGGCCCCACCACGACTGCCTTCCCCCAGTGCAGGGGGAGAGAAAAACACCCTGGGGAAGTGAGGAAGGGTTTTAGGAGCGGGGCGGCGCAGCAAAGCAGCACACTCCGGCAGCAGGTACCAAGGGGGGATGGTTTGCTTTATTTTATTTGAAGCCACGCACAAAGAGGAAAGGAACCGCATCGCTTCCAGGCTGCCCCACGCTGCCAGGGGGACCTGCAGCTCCCCGGCCTCCCTCCGGAGCAGCAGCACCAGGATGGACCTCTCGAGGAGGCTGCAGCCCCCAGCCCTTGCTCCCTGCCCGAGGGGCTCTGCCCCATGGCACAGGGGAGCCACAAGCCCCCTGCCCTGCTCTAACCCAGCCCACAGCCCGTCTCCCTGTACAGTTATTTTCCCTTTTCCCCCAGGTCAGGCACCTCCTGCTACTGCCTGCCTCCCCCCTGCTGCCTCCACGCCTCCTCTTCCCCCTCCACCCTCTATTATTTTTTCCTTCACTCCCCAGAAAGCTATTTTGAGGTGACAGCACCTGCCCTGCCCCAGCTTATGGCACAAAAAGGCGAGGGAGAAAAGGGGCATCAGCTGCACCCCCTGCCCCAGGGGAGCCAGGGGCTGCTGGTGCCACCCCACGCCCACCAGGCTGGGCTTTTTTGGGAGCTCATGCAGTAATTCCACCTCCTCCTGGAAGCAAAACAGCCCCTTTTCCAAGTGAGCTCTGCACAGACACAAGAGAGGACAGGTGGTGAGGCGTGACACACATCTCGAGCACACGGACATCGCTCATGGGGACCCAGACCCTACGCACGGACCACAGGGAGGGAACTTTTGGGATCCTCTCCTGCCTTCTTGGGAAAACGGCGGCTGCATGGCCAGGAGAGGAGATGGGGACAGGGGAGCCACCGGGTGCATAGGAAAACACACGGTGGGACCAAAGCTGCACAAACTCACGGGGCAATTCCCCCTCCCCAAGACTAGTTACAGACTGAGCCCACATCAAGCAACACCGCCATCCCCCAGGCTGCAGGAGGAACACAGGAGTTTTCAGAGCAGCTTTGGGCAGCTCTGTTAGGCTTTGTTATGGCACGGTTCTACTTGGCATTCAGACAGGAGCTCGGGGCGTGGTAACTGGGTGTGCTTGTGAGGGGCAAGGTGCCACCAGACTGGCAGAGGGACACACAGAGCCCCAGGAAATGCTCTGACACGGACACTGCCCCAGGGCACCATCAGAGCCGAGGCTGGGAACGGGGAGCCCTGCTCCTGTTCCAAACCACCAGCATTGACCTCGTGTTGCATTCCCTACCTTGCATCCCTGTCAGGATGCTTTGGGATCTGCTTTCAACCCTCAGAAAGGGTTGTAGGATCAAAGTCTATCTACTCCAACCCTCAAAACCAAGAGGGATGGATTTTAAGGTTTTGCCTGATGATTTCCTGCCCTGCTTTCACTTGGATCCATTCAGCTTCTGAGGAAATTCGTCCCCCCAACTCCAAATTCATTTCAGTACACAGCTACTGAAAGATGCAGTGGTACCCGGAGCACAGCACCCTCACCACGCAGGGCTGTTGTAAAGCACCACGGCTCCTGCAGACCACCACCACCGCTCCCCTGGGAAAAGCGCTGGGCTGCCAGTATTTATTTCTCCTATTTAACCGGTGCTCTGTACTTCAGCAGGGTGGCATGCAGGTCAAGCATTCTCTCAGGAGGAGGGGTGTGGGATGGCACGTGGTGATATTTGAAGTGCTATAATAGACTAAGAGCCTCCACCTAACAGGGCACGGTGCCTAACTCTCTGACAGAGCTACGGTGTAACTGCGAAGTGACAGGGCACGCTGCTGCAGCCAGCCTGCAGGCTTTGCTTCAGGAACCAGAGCTCTGCAAGCTCTGGATATGTCATTCTGCACCCCATAATACCTGAATGCAGAGGAAAACCTTCTCTGCAGTGACTCTGTTTGGGCCTTTAAGCCGTGTGGAAATTCACGTGCACGGAGCTGCTAAGCCTCTTCCCTTCTGGGCACTGCAGTGCGTGTCCCTGCTCCACCCCCACCAAAATCCGCTCTCCTTTGGCAAAAAGGAAAAAGGCCTCGAGCTGCAGGAATTAACATCTCTCTTCCACACGCTGCTGGGCTGTCTCCAGGGCTGGCCCGTTTCCAGTCCCGATCCCACTGTATTGCATAAATACCCACAGCCCAGAGGCAGCGGTGACCAGCAGCTCCCCATGGGCCGTGGGGTTGTTCCGACAGCGACCTCCGAGCTGCCCCGAAGCGGTGCCGAGGGGCTCAGGGTCATCCTGGGAGCACTCAGGTCACAAGAACACACACAGTGAACAAAGAACAAGGTAAGAACACGGGCTGGGTGGGTTTGGCAGGCGCAGGAAAGGGCTGGCAGCTCGTCTTCTGCTTTAGGAGAGTCTGTGTCAGGTGTGAGGTGGCCGGCTGGACCTCGGTGTTACCACGGTGCTTGGCACCCCTGGAAACCTTGCTGCTGCTCCTGGTTTTGCTGCAGGGGCTCCTTCCCAGCCCGTAAGGATGCTCAGAATGGGAAGAGTAGCTCTGTGAACAATCAGACTACAGAGGTGAAGCACAATCCGACCAAAGATTCAGACCGGAGGAGACACAGTCAGACGGAGGAGGCTTTAAAAACTATCACCTGCATGAGATATACATAAAAACCCAACAACGAAAACAACCAAACAAAAACCCCACAACATTGCAAGGACAAGCAACTTCTCTGGAAGTTGGAGTTTCTTCCAATATTCCACACCAGGGGTCTCACTGAGCCAACCTCCTAGGCAAGACGACCACGGAACGAGCAGTAGGGGCAAATCTTTCCGTAGGACAAGGCGCTTCCCTAGCACGACTGTCCCTGCGAGATCCTTATGCCTGGCCTCAGCTACCGACGTGTCCCCGTGGGCCAGAATGGGCAGGCAGGCAACGGAAAGATGCTATAGCACCGGTTATGAAGTTTAATGCAGTTTTCAATGCATTAAAGCCAAAGGATTGTCACCAAACTTGCCTTCCAGGCAAGTTTTGCAGAAGAGGGCAAAGCTACACTCTGGCTGCTTCTGTCCTCACAACGCCTTTTGCGCTCACTCCTTGCCTGAACTGTAGATCTTCTGAGCTGTGGCGCGCGTCAGCTCCAAATCCTCTGGGTACCGAATTTCTAGCTCGGTATTTGCTAGGTAGTGAACGCCGGTAAACTCGGAAAAATAGCGGCCGATGTCAGGGTGAGGAATCTCCCGAGGCTCAGAGTTGTATTCCAGGTTCTCTGTTAGGAGAGGAAACAAATCAGTTATTCCCCCACGAAAGCCATACATCCTGCGCCTCTCTCAACTCCTGTTCGTGTCTCTGAGCTCTACAAACACTGCCTCCTGATGCTTTCAACAAAAAACAAACCCTAACCCAGGAAAACAGGCAGAGAATATCCCAGTAGGCTCACTTACAGAACCTATTCTCCTAGCTGATGCTGACCCCATTTACCAGTGCCACCAAAATATTTCCTGCCTGAGACCCCCTGGCCTGACGTTAGGCTGGAGCACAGGATGCTGACCTGCTGTCACGCTGCGGACCGCAGGTCTTGTTTGTAAATGCAAGGAGAAGCTGCAGCACTGAGCTCTGCTCCCTCAGGTCCCGTGGGAGATCAGTTTCCAGGAGCTCCAAACGCTCCAAGGTGTGGGTGACTGCACAAGGATGCCCTCTGCAGGTCTACCAGGGACACCCAGTGCACTCCAGCTCCCCTGGAAAGCCTCCCAGTGACCCCCAGTTTCCTCTAGGATGCCCGAGAGACCTCCCCAGGAAACACAGGAGGCAAAATAAGGGCTCTTCCTGGAATCTAGAGGCCTCTGGAGGCCTTGCAGGGCTCTCTAGTGCACTGTCACACACACTGGAGGCCTCCTGTGGTCCTCCCCTGCACTCTAGATCCTCCGCAGGTTTACCAGGGCCCCCCAGTGCCCTCTAGCTCCCCCTAAAAGCCTCCCAGTGACCCCCAGTTTCCTCTAGGATGCCCTAGAGGCCTCGCAGGGCAAAACCCTAAACTTAATAATATACCTAACCCTAATTAGGACCCTAAAAAACACATATGGCACCAGCTTCTCCTATCAGAAAGTCTCAAATGCCTTGCAGCTCTAAGGCACCAGCCTGCTTTCCAAACATGTCTTACGCAGCAAATTTCACTTTTCTAAATCCCAGGCTCCCGAAGTAAGAAGTCTCCAGAGCGAGCACATTAATTGTTTCCCAGAGCACCCCATTTCCTCCTTTGTAGTAAACGCTAGCCTGATAAAGCACAACAGGTAAACAAAGCACTAGCGTTAAAACACAGCGGTGACCCGAGCTGAGGGCCTGTTTGCTCCCTGATTATTTGCTTAAATCAGGGTGACGAGGAGGCAGCCCAGCAATAAATCACCTGTGCAGGTGCCCTGCAGCAGTCCCCAGATGATGTCATTTTTTCCAGCATAGTGCCAGACACACAGGTAGGAAAAAAAAACACACAAACACAACACTGCCTATGTCCCAAAGTACCTTATCTGCAAGGTAAGGGGGGCAACATGTTGGGATGCTGAGAACGTGGTTCAGGAATAATCCATCTGCCTCTGAAACACGCTCAGTTCACTTCAGAGAGCACATACAAGTGGTATTCATCCATGCGGGCTCTGCGAAGCAAGCTGGACTTTGGTAAGAGCTACCATATGTCACTGTGTGCAGCCAAGAGCACGAGAGCTTTCTGCACCCCAGCGGGCTGCTGCGGTCCCGTGGGCTGCGAGGCCCCTTCTTGTCCCATACAGCCACGGGGGAACGATTTGCACTGCGATACGCCCTGCAGAAACAGGGCTGAACAGCGAGCTGTGCACAAATGGACAGACACAATGATGAAACAGAAGCTGGCAGGGGGGAGAATGAGAGAAGTGGATTCGAAAAGGTGGGGAGCCTGAGAAACGTGCTGACGAGCAGTTTTGGAACAGCAGGCACCTGGCCCGTGCTGCCAGCAAGCAAACAAAGGGAGGACAAGAGCAGACAGGTAGACACCAAGCCTGCTGTACAAGGCAGGTGTTTTGGAATTAGCGACAGCTCAACCTGCAGATTTACAGGAAGGACTCAAACTGAGCACACCTATAATAAGCTTGGTGTTATTTCTGGTTGAATCTACAAAGACTCAGTTAAAAAAAATAAATTACCATTCCCTCCTTAAAGCCAGGTCACTAGGTTATGAAATACTCCCTTCCCAAGTGATCTGAGGTTGTATTTTAGAGGGGATACTCAACAGACAGGCAGCAAGACTTCAGCAAGCAAAGACAACCCCCTGGTTTTCTCAAGCAGTATCAAAACTCTTGGATGCCACTGACAGCAGTTTCAAACTACAGCCTGGCTAAAACACAAAGTGCTCAGGAACCAGCTGTAATCAGAGCTGATTATACTTGTTTATAAACAATTAGAGAATAAGAAATGAGATGACTCAACCCCAGAAGCGCTGTGGAAAAATACCACATTAGTTTCCACTGAGGTGCATATTTGAAAATTAATCCATGGCACAAAATAGTTTTTTTTTTCAGACTATTTAAGAGGTAAAATACTGTTCAATATGAACCACAAAGTTGTGCTGCAATGTCCTGCGTCCCTACTCCATCCCTTTTTTTTTTTTTTGTTAGTTCTACTGAATATAATGTGACTCTCAGGAAGGTGAGAAACACCTGCACTCGAAGTGTTTCAGGCTACAAAGGTAGGAGTGTCCCCTTGTGTAAAACCACCTCTTGCTCGTAGGTATGGGATCAGAACATGCTAGGAGCACACCCTAGCAAGAGCTGAACTGCATTTTGGCCATAGTTTCCTGCTCAACAACTTCTGCATCTTCTCTTAACAAAATATGATCAGGTTGTGCAACTGCCCTGCCAGCTGGATGCGATGCCTCTGTGTCACAGGGAGAAAAACAGGAGATAAAGAAACACCCTGATTGCAATGTACAGAGTTAAAGACTTTTTTAACCCGAGTTCAACACTTCTTCCCTTATCCTAACCTCATATTCTGACCATGAGATAAGAATTTTGCTCATGGTACTGTGTATAAAGAACACACAACTGAAATTTCTGCACCTCTTGGCGTTTGTGAAGAGGCATTCATTTTAGTCCCTTTCTTACCAGAGATGGCACCAAAAGCCACGCTATTCGTGTTCTCTGGGATCTTAGCACACTAAGTCTCTCAGTGAAAGGTGTTCAGAACCATGCTCTAAAAACGAGCAAGGTTTGGGTGTTCTCTCACTAGACCCTACTTTGAGGTCCTTCCGAAAGCATGACCATCATTTCACAAAGCAAGAGTTGCTGACAGAACTTTGAACTTCAGAAAAAGTTGAATTAGCTCTTCCAAAAGCAGTAATCCTGGTTTATACCATAAAACCAATCGTGTCCAACACACACTTGTTTCTAGGGCAAGAGGAGATTGTAACAAATTGAACATTGATTGGTCCTCAATGTTCATCCCTAGCAGGACTGATTTCACAGAAATCAAACAAAATATGTCTGTGAATTCAAGACAATTCTCCTTCCTACCCCAACTTTAACTTACACTTCATGCCTCCTACTAAAGAGCTGATCACTTAAGCGTCGCCTTCTCCTACTGCACTTTTTAACAGACAGCAAACTGAGGAGACTCCTGCTCACCTTGAGCAGCGTATCTGCAAGAGCCATCTTCCACTAGCACGTTGTAGAAAGGCTGGTGGGGGCCATGTGGGAGGCTGTGGACATTCATGTTTCGGATCCATTCATGTCCCATCATGCAGGCAGGATCCCAGCCGTAGATGACGCAGTTGTAGCCATATCTAATTAAAAAGAATACACAACACAGGCTATGAAAACTCCAGAGCCAGCTCTTTTCGTCAAGGCTAATAGAGCACAAACAGAACAGAAGCCTCCTGTGAGCAGGCACAAGGAGGAGAGGAGAAGAACATCATTATAAAAAAACTTGTGTGCGTACGTGTCTGTGTTCTGAGGTGGGTGGGAAATGACTAGAAGTAACTGGGCAAACAGACAGGAACAAACAGCTGAGGACAAAGGAAAGCCAAATTTGAACAAGAAATGAGAGCGGGGAAGAGACTGGGATGTCAGCAACAGGGAGAACAGGAAACAAGAAACAGGGAGGGGAATCAAGCACTCTACCGTGCTGTGCAATTACTTCTGTTCCCATCACACAGACACGGTAATCCCAGTGCTAATTCCCAGAAACAAAGCCAGCATTATTGTCAGAGTATTTATGAGATTAATTGTGAGGTATCATAACTGACACTGCTGACACTTAAAATATGCTTCAGATGTCTTGCTGAGTTGTTTGGAGGAATGGCCACAGCCACAGAGTGCCAGCACGTCGTTCTGGCAGGGCTGTGCAGACAGGAACACAAAGCCCCTGCGCAATGCAGGAAGAGGCAGTAATAACAGCGCAGGGTAAGATTCATAAGCTGTCTTTGCCATCTCATCTCTTCTGAAACCAGCTCTGTTCCACAGTCCCTCATTAACCGATTACAAATGTTTCTTCGAGAGCTCTGGACTGTGGAAATTTTATCTGTGATACATGATGACTCACAGGAGGCACCTCGCAAACCTCTCTGCAAACAAGCAGCAGCAAAAACGCTTGCTCTCAAAGGAGAGACAGAGCTGCCCCCATTTTTCTAAGAGGTATGCAGCACAGATGCATGTGCCTGACATTTTCTGTTCCAGGTACCTCCTTGGCAGATAAAACCCTGTCTCATTACGGCCAGAACAAACACTTCTGCACTCGTCATTACAGTACAGCCTCCTGCTAGCACAGGGAAGGTTTTGAAGAGCTCACCTCTTGTGTTTCATAATCAGCCCAATGGAAAAGCAGACCTCTTTGTGTTTCTCATCCGAGCGGTGCTTCACCTCGGGTCCCACCTCCTCCTTCCGACGCTCAATATGCTCTAGGGTATGCTGAACCAAGTACCCGACCGCCCCATGCTGGGATGGATCCAAGGCCTGAATGTGCTGCAAGATGTCCAGAACCTTCAGCAAGCAAAACAAGATTGACAGATTCAGAACAAGCCTCCACAGCAGTCAAACACAAACAGATACACTTCCCGTGTTAGCTGGGTCTACGTGCCCAGGCCTAGAAGTCTGCCACACAAGTTTTCCACACAGAACTGAGAACCTTTGCTCTAACTACACGGTTCCAAGGAGTTGACACTTGCTTATCCTGTAGAAATTGCAAACATTGCTCTCCTCTATTTTTAAAGCTCCCTATTCCTAAGGAAGGGCACTGCTGAACAAAGTAACTCCCTAAAACTAAGTCATACAAGCTAATGGCATCACGTGTTTCAGCTACAGGGCATCAAAGACACTGCTTCAAGGTTTCTGAGATGTTAGAAGAATTCTGAAGCTAGTCTGCTGAACCCCTGCTGTGAAGTGATTTCAGATGATTTCTGCTGTACTCCAGAACAAACATTTTAGCTTTAAAAAGTTCCTCAGCACAGAAGGAAATGCAAATAACCTGTACGATGCTGTAACATGAAATAGTGAACAGGAGACAGAGAACCTGCTTGACTCAGGATAACTAAAGGGCACTGACTTCAAAAGTGTTCCCAAAGTAGCAGACTCTGTAGATCTCAAGTACCAGCCTACCAACACCCTCTGGCATGTCATTGGAGCATCAAGACAGAACAGCTGCCACCAGCTTTGTTACAGGCAGGCAACGCAGGTTTTTATCTTCTTGCATCTTGTTCCTAACAAAAATGTTGTCTAAACAGATTTGGAAAAAGCAGTCACATCCATCTCAACATCAAACACCTCAAGTGCTGCCTCACTTCCAAAATCTGACACCCCTCAGCAGCTGGCAAGAGATCAAAGATTGTCTCCTTGATCACATGCTGCAAGTTTTGGTGAACCTGAATTTAGAGTGGGGCAGAAGAGGAGACCTCAGGCTACTCAGCATGAGCATCAGTCCAGCACTGAAAAAAATAAACTCAAAAAAAAAACCAGAAGAAAAGAAGAAATACTGCTCAGGCTTCTCAGCACTTTAAATTGCTGGCAGGCATCTTACTGCCTTAAGAAGGGTGTGAAAACTGAAAAATCCTGCAGAAAGGGGAAGGCCTAGCACAGTGACCATGGCTGCCAGAGATTCTTGGCAATTTCATTTACTCTTATTTGCAAACATTCAGGACAACATTCTGGACAGCTTTGCTTGAGTTTTAAGATTTCATGCCACTTTCCGTAAGTTTGGCAGACCTCTCTGAAATCTGGTATGTTCTGTTCTGTCAGGCATACAGGCTTCTCTGGCTAACTGTAATCCTATATGATAGCCTGGCAGGACTGGATGCATGTGAGGATGCCACAGGAGAAGTCTGGAGCTGTACATTTTCATTGTGTCTGGCAAAGTGGTGCAGAGAACTACATGCAAGAGTCAGCCACGGGGGGCATTATCTGTCCTGAGGGGCAGCAAAATGCAAGTACGTAAAGCCCACGTGCCTCACGAACACAAAGCTGAGTGCCAGAAAGGGGAAATCTTCCAGTATTTCATTTAGCTCTCCTCTATTTATGTACACTCTTCATTTCAGCTCAGTGGGCCCCCCAATAATTTCTTACTTTGGGCTGATTTTTCCGTGGCAACCCTAAAACTTGCTGCCCTAAGAAAGGAACAGCAAACTTAGCACAATTTGTTCTTCAAAAGGAAGGCACGTTCTCCAGCAGTCGCATGTTTCAGTTAATTTAGTGGGAAGAGCTTTGCCTCCTGCCCAGCTGTCCAGCCAATCCTTCTGCCGAATCACCCAAACCTAACGTTTGGATATGGCACAGGCAGTGCCCAAGGGAGTGAATTCCACTAAAGCACAGGCAGTTTCAACAAAGAAACCTCTCTTTGCTGCAGTGACGTTCTAAAGAAATACTTTTTTGTTTGTTTGTTGAGTTACGTGTTTTCTCCCTGTGCCTCCTCCAAATTCAGTTAAAGACACGGATGACTTAGACAACTTGCTGTCTGTCTGTACTGTCCTTCCCACACTCACAGGATTCTTCAAGGCTGAAGGTGATGTTAGCAGCCCTGTCCTTGGGATTCTTTTTTAAGTTGCTTTTTCACAAGAGCCGCTGATTGTGTACCTAAAGTTTCAGAGAACAGCTTTGTTGTTTGCAAAAGATAATTTCCTACAGGTTTCCTGATATGGTAATTGTTCCTTTCCTGTGACTCCAGCCAGACTCCTATCACCACCACCTCAATCTAGGCATACCGAGTCCTTACCTCTTACACTTTACAGCTAGCTACAAGTCCACAGTATTGGTTTTAAGACAAATTGTCAGACCGGGGCTGTAAATCATAAATTATGACTCAGACTTGAGGCTGCTCACGAGTTTCCCCTAGAGCAAGCAAGAGTCATCCTCTTTCCTCGCTTCACGTAGTAGAAATTGATTCACCGAAATGTGATAACTCGTTCAATTGCGTTTATTAGAGAAACAACTTGTGGCAGACTGTAATGCAAGTTGATGTAGTCCAAAAATCAATAGACTAGTGTTAATAATGCTTAGCCTATCAGAAAACATATGACCGAGTGGCGAGGTACCTTTTCTGGCCAGATTCCCAGGTGGAAGTATAACCTAGCCTGGAGCATTAGATGCTGCACATTGTCCGGATACATGGCCAGGTACAGATCCAACGAGTCTCTCAAGAGTTGATAAGACTGATCAGTGCTTTCTCTGCCAGCAAAAAAGAAACTCAATTGTAAGGCTAGCTCTTCAGTTCCTATCCCTAATACGCCAGTGTACAGGGATAGCCACCAAAAGCAGTGCTGCAGGTACAGGCATGCTCACTCCATGTAAGTGACAGTCAGCCCTGGAGTCACTCATCACATCCAACAGCCTGCTGGAAAGGGAAAATGCTACACAATTGAAAACCGGCCTCTACCCTCCCACTTCACCAGTATTCTACTTGGTCAAATGATCATACTCATAAAATTCACTCTGTCACTTCCTTCTGAAATTTGCTTTTGTTCCCCTTGCTTAATTACACCTAAAGCGATGCTTTTACTCTCTGATTTCTGTCTGTTGCTACTTGGGAAAGTGATTAGCAGGACATTTGAAAACAAAAGCAGATTGTTAACAATCCAACACCACCATCTACTCATTTAAGCATATGGTTTATGCCTACCTGGTCATCATAAAGGTCTCTGCCCTCAAGGGAACAGTTCCTATCTGCTTTTCACATAGTAAAAAAAAAAAAAACACAACACAGTTGTGTCCATTTTCTTGAGTGAAAACTATCTATTCTTGCTTCCAAGCAATACTGTTGCAGGAGGTGATCAAAAGCAACTAGACACTGCGATGTGACATCCAGAGCTTTCAAGACTGCCTGGTGTGACTGATGCCTTTTTAAAGCACTCACTCCAGTACTGCGAAGAGGCAGTATCAGACAGGCAGACAGCACACCATGGGCCCTTTTTTCCCCCACAGCACTTACGGGCCAGATGACTTCAGTTACAACTCACCGCTTGCCCAGGTTTAAGAGGTTTCCCACCATGCGCTGCAGGACCTCCTTCGAAGTCACCACCCCATAGAACTCCTCCGTCACGTGGTGGCCTATAAGGTACTCGCACTCCTTCACGGTCAGCTGCTTCCCCTTCCCAAAGGCGTCAATGTAAGTGTAGTCAAAAATATCTGTGCTTCTAATAAGACATCAAGGAAACCAAGCTGTGATGCTGGGCCTTGTGGTAAAGCAGGATTACCTATTTCTGTTCTCCTAGCACTTTCAAGCTTGTTTCTAAAAATGCGCCATTCATACCTCAGCTCCCTCCCTCGTACAAAGAGATCACCTGCTACCTTCTCTCTCGTTTTTCACTCCATTGTGCCAGTTCTTTCCTTCACATATTTTCAGGTTTGCTGTATTTATTGCTACATTACATGATGCTGCTGCACTGTAAAGTGTAACAGAGCCCACACATATGGCATCTGAAGCCTACTGCCAGAAGCGGTATATATAGACAAAAACATGGCTCTGAATTGGACTGCTGATGTCATTCACAAAATATACATTTCTGTAAATTGATCACAATCTGGTCAAAGGTTTGGCCTGCACTGACTCAGAGAATTGAAAGAGTGCACAGTACAACCGCAATGGCCTCTAAGAGCTGTTCTGTGTGAAAGGTCAAGTGAAATAAGCACTTTTTTTCTTTTTTTTTTCTTTTTTTTTTTTTTTTTGTAATCTTATTAAACAGGAGAACAATCACCTCATACTACTATTTCACACTCAGGAAATCTGTTATATTTCCTTAACAGAAGAACTGAGTTCTGGGAAAGTTTATCTAGACAGCTGATCTTTTCCTTATAATTATGGATGGAAAATAATTAAATTCTGGAGCTGTAAATTCCTTGTGGCTTTTATAAAAAAAATAAAATGATAAAACTTCAAAACACAGCAGATCACTTACCCTTCTTTTCCTTGACACCATCGCAGCAGAAAATGACTAGGGAAGTTGACTGGCTCAAGTTTGACTCCCAGCTGCCTGGCAATTGTTAAATAAAGCACGGACAAACTGATGGGAATTCCTGTCCTGCGGATCAAAACCTGGACAGATAGAAAAGTGGGGGATATTAAGAAAGAAAAAAAAAAGAAACTCCAAGGTTTTAATTCACAAATGAAAACACACCAACTTAACTGAATATGCACTAAAAGATGACAGGAAATTTACAGGAAATTACTCTTCAGAGACAGATTTTTTTTTTGACTACATTTTGTCACATGAAACACCACAAGTAGCGTTTCAAGCCTTGCAGCCTCCTAGGTTCTGCCTAACATGCACGTACCTGGTGAATGTATGAATTCAGGGAGTTATAGTAATCCAGCTCATTTCCTTTGTATTTTAACTGCTCATACAGGACACAATTCATAGCATCAAGTACCTGCCGCTGAAGCTCCACTTCTGGAATCAGGACCTCTCCTGAAAACACGCAAAGAGCAATAAAGACAGAGAAGACAAGCATACTTAACCTTCATGCACTGAACCTCATAGCAAAATTCCTTTATGTACAAAGAACATAAAGACATCTTGATTCAAATAGTCAAGAGATTGGCTGGAGCACACAGCCCTAGTGCTCTGCTTACGGTGTGGCCTGGCTCAGCGGATTGCCACACACCTCAGCTGTGTATCAGTTCTGCCTTGCTTCCTCCTGCAGCTGCAGGACCTGACCCTGACCACCCCGTGCCAGCACAGCACTGTAGCTGGACAGTCTCACCGGCCAGGCATGGGAAGTGGGCTTTCACTGCTCGAGTCCCAGTTTGACCACTCTAGATATACAGACACAGACAGACCAGTCATTCCCTCTTTGAAAAACAGCAAAGATTAGACTAATGCTTATAAAAACACAAGAAGTAAGATGCTGCCTGACCTTTGGAGATGGTAAAACCTATACCTTTTCTATTGCTGCTGACTTGCCAAGACTTGCTGAGGAAAGGACCTGTCCCACGGCTCTGCTACACACATCAGGACTGCTTAAGACTTCAGGGACAAACGAAAAAAAAATAACACCACCACAAACCAATCCTTTTTGCCTAGACAGCATCAGATGGACAACCTTGGGCTATCGAGCTTCTGCGGCTGAACAAACAGCTGCTGCCTGAATGATAGTTTAAGCAAATGTCAGAACATGCTTCAATGGGATGAAGGACAATAATGCTTTAAGCTGCAATAATTCAACAGCTGTTTCACCTTATCTGCCTCTGTTGAGACCTGCAGAAATGGTCTGCAGTAAAGCATATGCTTTTATACAGTACCTGCCTTGGAAGCCAAGCTGGGGTGCCTCGCATTTTTCGTCCGAAGGACTTTGCGCACTTTATCAGTGATATCATCCACCTGTGCCTGGACACTTTTTAAGCAGATGTCTGACAGCGGGTTACAATATTGGTCAATTAAAACGGCACCTGGAAAAAACAAACTACATAAGAAACAGGACTTCAGTTGTTTTTTGTTTTGTTTTTGTTTTGTTTTGTTTTTTGCTTATTTTTGTCTACTCTAAATTCCAAATCTATGGCATACAGCAAGCAATTGCAGCACAACACAACAACTTTCTTCTCAAAACTCTAATTTGTATATTGGATTTATCACAAAATGCAGAGAACAAGCTGACAATGATAAATGCCAGTTAGATTCTGTACTTCCCACCCCACCTTTCTGAAAAGGAAAGCAATAGATTTGTACATTGAGCAAGTATGCTGCTGGACAAGTCTTACTTAACCAGCCAACTCCTGTCACACTGCATCTCCTGGCATCCTCCCAGCTCATGTTTCTTGTTCAGATCCTCAAACAACCTCAACTTCACTTCTGCGTCAGTTCTGATTTCTTCCTGCCACATCCTCAATCGCCATCATTCTTGCTCAATGCTCCCTCTTCTGCTACATTCATCCTTCCATGCCTGCCCTCCATCTTCCTGTCAGAAACCCGCTATAACAGATTTTCATTTTTCTTCTGCCCAACCCTCTCCTGTCAAACTTCTGCAGAAAAAAAATAGCCCTTTCTCAGAATAATCTCCTTGTCATCTTGTCAACCATGCTCTTTCCAAAGCCTCCATATTGCCCAACCTTTGGAATCAACTATATTCACCTGCAATCAATTCACCTGCACTGATTCACCCTGCCTGCAGCATGCTCCTTGCTCTTGTCCAAGGAGAAAGGAGAGAGATTTTTCCCCTTTCTGGGGAAAGGAGATGGTAGGGAGCTGACCTGAAATCAGATCACGCGGTCTAATAGGCCCTGTTCAGCCCCTAGGCCACAGTTAAAATGCTTCTGCAATGTCAGCTGGTCAGGATGCTGAACTACTGCTGATCTCTTCACTGCACTGTTCAAATCCAAGTATTTTAACTTTTTTCCATTGCTTCTCTGTTTACCTGTCCATGCACAACTACTTGAGCATAAAGCAGAGAAAGAAACGAGTGGAATGCTGATTTTTTGATGTAATGCTATGCAATTACCATAATTTTTTAAGGATTTTAGGTACAGCAAAAATCCTAACTTAATTCTGAGTCGCTGTCCAGGGGCTAGTTGATATGTAAGCAAGGAAGCTTCTCTTCAAGTAAAGCAACAATGATGGAAAGCTGTCATTAACTGCTCTGCATCGGACTTCTGCTAAGGACTTACCCTCTAAAAATGACTGCTGATCAGTAGGGCGTTGAAGATACTCCTTCAGATTTTTTAATATGTTCTGTTGCCGTAGGAAGTAGAGAATTTTCTTTGCATAATACTTCCAGGTGAGGCCTTTCCTGCACAATGAAACACAAGAAGTTGTATTAGACAAGCACTTCAAGAGTGAACATTCCATTTAACTTTTCCAGTGAAGACATCTGCATTTTAGACATTGCTTTTCTGAACAAGACCAATGACACCACAGAGTCAGCCAAAGAGGTAAATATTAAGAGCATACTTATCATCAAAAGAAACAACTTACAACGCTTGCAAAATATTGTCCCCATCATCTTCAGTTTTTATCTTGCCACTAAGATAGCATTTTGAGAAGATATAGTATCACAGGAAACAACACAGATCCTGCTTAAAGTAGTTCAGGAATATCTGAATGAAATACAATATTTTATTCACAAAATGTCCTCTGACTGTGTCCCCCCAGAATATTAAAATATCATTTCACCAATTAAAAAAAAGTGATGAGAGACAGGAATGTACGTCCAATAATATTCAGAACAAAATTGCCAGAGAAAAATGTCTTTTTTACTCAAAAAAGGCTGGAAGGGACCAATAGTTGGCCTGTAGATCACACAATCCAAAACCTTACAGTTTTCATAGTAAAATCCCTTACATTTTCTATATTAAGAAGTGAAGGCAGAGTGCCCAAAAAGCAGCAGAGAGCTGATTTGAAGAGGTCACTGGAAATATGACAGCCCAACGTAGAGGCATTCAAATCACATGCATCTGAGCAAGCCCTGGCCTTCAGCAATGGGTTACCCATTGCTTCAGCACACACTTTTACACCAAATAGTTAGGAATGGTGCCCCCCAAAACCAAAAATCAAAAAATAAAAACAGACACAAACACAAGAGAGGATTCTGCTGACATCCTGGCTCTGTCTTTGCCATATTTTTAAAATAAGTCCAGCTCTTTTCTTCATGAAAAAACCTTTTTCCCGCTTGCCTGTTCTCTCCTCCAGATTGCAGGTCAAATCAGTCTTCTCCATCCTAATGAACAGGAGAACAATCAAACCTCATAACACTTCATCCTCTTCCAATACGTTGGGAAGCTCAATAGGGACAACTGCTTTATTGGGATATCTTCCAGGGAAATGATTTAGCCTAATGCTCCTGAATGGCAAAGACTACAGCTTAATCAGGGTGTAATTAGCATCAATTCTGCTTTATTGGGAGGCATTTGGCCAGTGCGAAGGCTCAAAAGCTTTTTAACCAGTTGTCAAATGAGAGATGTTTAGTCCCAGTTCAAATAGAGAAGGTAATAAAATGGATGTGAAAAAGCAAAAATGAGATGATTGTCATTCCAGTTATGTTTTTCCAAGCTCCACTAACAGTCCCTTTAATCAAGGCTATTAGACCCCATTAAGACAAATGTATTGCTGCTTTGTATCACAGCAAAAACAGCATTGTTTATATGGTACCAGCAGAAAAGCCTTTAAGCAAGCCTGTGATCTATTCATCTTGCTCAGTGTTACCCATGGTAATGAGAACACCCAGGCAGATGTGAACCAAAAATTTTATTTACCCACTTGGCATTTCACCTGTCCAAAGAATTTACCAAGCTGCAAATTTTGCAGTGGTTCAATTAAACTCAGATGCTTATTTGGGGACAAAAAACGTACCTATCTACTACAGCTAAGAAAGGCAACAGAAGAGGTTAAAAAAAAAAAAAAAAAAAAGGCTGTGGTTTCATGATGTGGGGAGGGATTTACGGTGGCAATCCACAGTGAAGTACTGCTGTTCCCTCCTGTGTTGTAGGCCCATACTGAGAGAACTGTTGTGAACTTGCAAGGAAACAAGCAAGCAACAAACAGCAACACGAAGCCAGGGGACCTCCTTCTTGTAGAATGGTTTACACGGGTTCTTCTGGGAGTATTAAACGTGTTCTGCAATTAAACGCACAGTAATTCTCCCCAGCCTCAGTAAGGCTGGGGTTGTTGGTTTTTGGGGTGACAAAAGGAGTGAAGCTGACATCAGGCACCCATCACAGTACCATTCTTCTTTAGCCACTGAAAGGAGAAAATCCCTTCCACTTCTAATACTTCGTGTTCTTTCTTACCTTCCTTCCATGTTAAGGATACACATCAGCTCATCCTCAAAGAAGTGACTTGGGCATCCAAGAGTCTCGATGTCACTGAATCCATCACAGGGGACCTGCCAAATCAGACGCTGAATTATGCAGAGCACAAGAGATTGTTTCCTGAAGAACGTGATTTCATAGAAAGTCTCAAAACCCTACAGCAATCTGAGCTAACTACTACAGCATTTGGGGCTCCTGCAGAGGTGTATGGACCAGCCCTGGCATATCAGATCACACGCAGGTTGGGCCCAAGCTTTAAGGTGGAAACAACTGCCTGTGGTTGACTAAACCTCTCCATACCCTCCCTAGAGTAGCAGATTGCTCCTGGAGAAATGAACGAAGGAGCAGGAGCTTTAATTTCAGTCTCAAACCTCAACTGTTTAAGCAATATTGACAAGGGCCAAACTGGAGCTATCAGGTTGTTAATCTAAAAAAATATCTGAAACAATCATTTGTGTGTCTATATTCGTAACATTTTCTTGCAAAAATTGGAATTTTTAAACTCTGGTTGAACTGTAAAAAATCTTATTTGCTTTCAAGCTTTTCAATACAGGAGATTAACAAAATTTAAGGAAAAAAATGGGATTCCTATTATACTGTATCTTAGTGGCACTCCACTGGATCTAGCAGAATTGGGTTGAAAAGTCTCCTCCCTGCACTTCTAAGCAGAGAAGCAAGCTGCAGTTTCTAGCCCCACAGGAGACAGTCCTAATTTTTAGGAATTCGGGTATTGCTGAGTAATGGTCTCTCAACAGTTCTTGCATACGTGATTGAAACAGTAGGAAGCCAGGAGGCTCTGCGGTCGGTTAATGCCCTGACACACATTTCACCACATTAAAATGTCTAGCTGCTGCAACCACAGTGGAATAGGTCAAAAAGAAGAGCCAAGACATATGCATCTCCTAATTTTCTACTGGCCTCATGGCCTTTCTCTCTGGGAAAAAAAAAAAACAAAAAACAAACAGTTGCCAGCATAAAATCAGACTTCAATGTGGGTCTCCAATGCCTCCAGGGATTTCTTCACTGGACCACAATGTATTTGCAAAGGAGATAGAGAGGAGTGGCCATTTACTGGCTCTAGCATGAACTTTTTAATTCAGCTTTAGTTATGTGCAGCTTTTAAGTTTATTTCACAGAATTTCAGGTTGACCCAAACCTTATAGGTAGCCAAAACCCACAGCCACCAACTGAGCAAACAATGAAACTGATGTTCCATGCTTAAGTAAGTTTTTCTGAGAGACTAAATTTTCACTTTTTACACAAGACACGTAAGTGTGGCGTCATGGTTAGGTAAAGAGTTTGAATAATATGCTTTCCAATTCAGTGAACCTATTGCGTCTCAGTCCTGCTTTCAAATTACTCCTGACAACTCTCAGAGGAGCATATCCTTGCATGAGGCCTGCAGGGAGATGAATTGATAGGCTGTGGTATGTGCAGAGAAACTATCGGTCCTTAGAAGTCGCTGAGCTCCTAGAGCCAGGTCTGAACATGCAGTGATGAGCAAAGAGCTCATAAAGACACAATGAGGATCTCAGCAACAGCCATGTGGTCTGCAGAATGTGCCTTGGACTCTGCGCAGTTTGTACCTTTGGATTTTGGACCATCTCTCATTTTGGCCGGCAGTCTAGCATTCTCACATAAAGTGAGGCAACAGGAATTTTGACCGCACAGCTGAAAAATACGTGGGGAGAGACCTGAAACTGCTACAAAGTACTAACCAAACAGCTAGGCTACTGCACATGCACAGGGATGACTTACGTGCTCTGAAAAGAACCTTTTGGAGAACGAAGCTACAATTCTCTGGGCTTCTAGTCCAGCATTGTGCCGCGCTTTGTATTCTTCAAGCCAGCTAACACCGTCTGTGTGGCTGTAGTATTTCAGCAGCGATGGCCACCTACACAACAAGACAGAAGCGAACAGGTTCATTAATATTTCAGCATCGCTGAGGATCTCCAGAACTGTGAAAAGTTGTAACCATATGGCTTGAGGAGCTGAGCCACTGACAAGAGACAATACAACCTCAGATGTAATCGTACAAATTAATCCAATGACTGACTCGGGCATCAAAGCATAAATCCAACTGATTTCAACTCAATATTACTGGTTATTTTAAAAGTAAGCTCTCCTGTGGCCTGTCAACAGCAAATGTTAACAGGAAACCTTCAAAAGGTTCGTACACCAGGTATTTCAATATCTATACCTGCTGAACACTTCTGAAATTTCCTTTAGAGCTTTCCAAGATAAACACAGGTATTGCATCAGTAAAACAAATAAGAGTTTTATAATAGAAAAGTTTGCCATTCTGAAGATGTACCACGTTCAAGCTAACTTGCCAACTAACAATGAGAATTCATTGTCTTGTGTTCTTCCTCCTACCCTTGTGGGTCTAATTAAAAGGATGCACAAACCAGAGCTTCCTCTACTACCTTGCTGGTGGCAGCATCTGCTGTAGGGAGACAGAGTTCTGAAGTCAAATCGTGACAGCTAGATGACTTTGCAGGTCATTTTTAATATAAGAAATATTAAAAAATAAACCCCAAACCAAACCCCTTTCATGTAAAAGAAAGCTGGACCTGCTTTACCAAGCCTAAAAGCTAACACACGATTTATAGCTTAATAAGAAGCATTTCAAGGTATGCGAACAGAAAGCCTAACTTAAAGGCAGTGTTTTGGGGTCAATTACCCCCAACAGCACCTTTCCTAGTGAAGTGGGAACGTGCTGTCATTACACAGCCCTACGCAATAAAATATATGCCAGTGCAGCTATACCCGTGACTCTTCTGAAGGTACAAAGACCATTTGGGTATGAATGTGAGGCAGGATGAGCATAGGTGGAAATATTTTGGACAGCATGGGACAGAAAGACAAGAGAAAAGCCTCCTGTAATTTGCATGGGGGCTTTTTTTCCCCACATTTTGACATTCTGTTGGTTAACATTGTTTTTTTACAGTGTTATCTTTCTTCAACTACATGAATTGCCTTAGGTTCTTTTCAGGTTATTTATATAAATATATAAAAATAGTAATTTACATGTGTTAAGTATGTATTTATATATATAATAATACATATATACACACACAATAATTCTTATATCCCTACCTGCATACTTACAGACAAATATTTAAATCACTACTTCCATATAATAATTTTTAGCAACAGACCAAAAGGCACTGTTCTGTCCATCCACACCCTGCAGATATTTTACTGCCTGTTAAAAATAAAACTACACTGCCATCGCAGTTACACAATAAAGTCAAAGACTAACCAAATAGCTTCACATCACACAGTAACCTTTCTCCTAATGGATCCCTGGCTGTTCATCTATCGCTGAAATGCAGCCACGTCGTAATAACAGTTACGATCATTTATTGTAGCAGGAGAAACAATGATTTCTTGGGTTGAAATTACATTGATGATTTTTGGAAAATAAAACATAATTACGCAAGGTGGAATCCTGCCAGGAGGACGAGGTCAACATGCACACTCCTGCCAAAAGCTCTATTATCAGAGACAGAGGAGGACTGCAGCATGTGCTAATCGCCCACCACACTCAATTTCAACTGTCGGATCTGAAGCACTTGTAGAAGTTCAGGTTCACTTCAGAAATTAGAACCGCTGAACTGGTGAAAATACTTGGCCAGCCATGCCAAGCTCTAGCTTGCTGAAAAGGGGAGGCTGTAATTGTCAGGCAGCCTTTTTTCAAGGGAGGAGAGGGAATAACCCCCTCGTTTAACTCTGCTGAGTTCTCCAAGCCAAGTGTTTACAGGCATACTGCTGCTTTTCCTGTGCCAAAACACGGACAAAAGCAGGCAGCAGATGAGCGTGCCCTGCTCTAGACAGGCTGGTGGCCCCAGCGAACGCCTGGTGCTCCTGCAGCCATGAAAGGAAGCAACGCAACCAATTCAACAGCTCCAGGGGTTTCGGCAGGGCTGTGCCCCCTGCAAGGCACACTGAGACCACCCTGGGGCTAAATGAAACCCCAAGCAGCAAACATTAACCCAAAGCCTCCTCCTGGGACAGGACAAACCTCTGTGGCTGCAAAAAAACGAGAGCACAGCGCAGTCGGGCCGGGAGGCCAGCAGACAGCCACAGTGCGTGCACCCTGTCCCCCTCCCTTCTTCCTCCTCTTCCACCTCCATTTCTTCCTCCTTCTCCTCTTTTATCTTCTCTTCTTCCTCACCCCCACTTCTCCTCCTCCTATTCCACCTACCCCTCCTCCTTTCTTCTTCCTCCTGTTCCTCCCCCTTCTCCTCTACTTCCTCCTCTTCTACTTCCTCCTATCCCTCCTCATCCTCTTCTTCATCGTATTCTTCTCCTCCTCTTCCTCTTTTTCCTCCTCTTCCTTTTCCTTCTCATCCTCCACCTCCTATTCCTCTACTTCCTTTTTATCCTCTTCTTCCTCCTATTCCTCTACCTCCTCCTCTTCCTCCTGTTATTCCTCCTCCTCCTCCTCCTCCTCTTCCTCCTCCTCCTCCTTTTCCTCCTCTTCCTTCTCCTCTTTTCCCTCTTCTTCTTCCTCCTCCTCCTCCTCTACCTCCTGCTCTTCCTCCTCCTCCTCTTCCTCCCCCCTCCTCCCGTTCTACTTCCTCCCCTCCTCTCCCTCCTCCCCCTTCTCCTCCTCTTCCTCCTCCTCCCTCTTCCTCCCCTCCTCCTCCTCCTCCTCCTCCTCTCCCTCCCGCCGCCCGCCCCCCGGGCGCTGCCCACCTGAGGCGGAAGCATTCCCGCCACACCTTGCCGCGGGGCTGGCAGGCGTCCCGCAGGCGGCGGCAGGTGCAGGCCACCCTCCCGATGTCGGCGGCGCCCAGCACCCCGCAGCACAGGATCAGCTCCAGCAGCTCCCCGGGCAGCTCCGCCAGGCCCGGCCGCCCGCCGCCGCCACCGCCTCCTCCTCCTCCTCCCGCCGCCGCCGCCATCTTGGGTGTTTACCTGAGCGGCTCCCACCCCCCTCCTCCCTTCCCCTGCGGGCAGGGCTTAGGGAGCGTCGCTTCCTTCCTCGGCCGGCAATGCGGGCGCTAGGGAGCGTCTGTAAAGTTCACGCTGGAGAGGGGAGTTGTATGGCTGCCCCCCCTTCCCCCGAGCGCTGCCCGTCCCTACCAGCTTTGGGCTGTCTGCATCGTGCCAACGGGGCTGGCCGGGCAGGGGGGAGGATTGCTGGGGGTGGCGCTGCCGCCGCCGCCGCCATGGCTGTGGGGGTGCCGCTGCTGTGGCTGTGGTAGTATCTGAGGTAACGCCGCCATGGCTGTGGGAGTACCTGAGGGAATACCACTGCCATGGCTGCGGGAATACCTGAAGTAACGCTGCCATGGCTGTGGTAATGCCTGAGGGAATGCCACTGCTATGGCTGTGGTGATACCTGAGGTAATGCTGCCATGACTGTGGTAATTCCTGAGGTAACACTGCCATGGCTGCGGTAATACTTGAGGGAATGCCACTAGCATGGCCCTAGTAATACCTGAGGTAACACCACCTCTATGGCTCTGGTAACGTCTGAGGGAATGCCACCACCATGGCTCTGGTAAAACACTGCTGCCAGCATGGCTCTGATAATGCTCAAGGGAATGCTGCCAGCACATACATGGTGGTACTTGAGGTAACCCCATCTCCATGGCTGCAGTAATATCTGAGGGAATGCCACTGCTGTGGCTCTGGTAATACCAGAGGTAACCCCATCTTCATGGCTGCAGTAATACCTGAGGTAACGCTGTTACCTCCGTGGCTGTGGTAACACCTGGGGTAACACTGTACCAACGTGGCTGTGATAATACTTGAGGGAATGCTGCCAGCACCTATATGGTGGTACCTGAGGTAACGCCATCTCCATGGCTGCAGTAATACCTGAGGTTACACTGCCACTGATGTGGCTGTGGTAATACCTGAGGGAATGCCACCACCGTGGCTGTGTTATCATAGAATCATTAAGTCTGGAAAAGAGCTCCAATATCATATGGTCTAACCACCCCCCTACCACCAATATCACCCGCTAAACCACGTCCCTAAAATACTAAGGGAATGCAGACACCAGATATGTGGCAACACCTGAGGTAACGCCACCTCCATGGCTGCGGTAATACCTGAGGTGACACTGCGATGTCTGAGGTAACGCACTTGCTGTGGTAACACCACCGTAGGGACTGAGGTGACACCACGGCATCTGCTGCTGTGGCTGCTATTACGACCTGGCGATGTCTAACGCATCGTATCTGCCATCACATCTGAGGTAACACCACCGCCATGTCTGAGGCAGCACCACGGCGGTCTCTGAGGTAACTGGTGATGTCCAAGGTAACGCTGCTGCTGAATCTGAGGTGTTTTACCTGGGGTAAAACTGCTGAACGCCCCTATCTGCCCTCCTTGCTCAGCTATGCTGTTTTCCCAGTGGACGTGGTATAAGTGATGTGAAACATGTAATGCTGTGAAGTCGAACAACCTTACAAGAAAGTGTTTGTGTCTTGCAGATAAGTGTATATCGCCGATTGATGCTACTGTCCTATTTATAGCGCTCTGACATTATGCAGGTAGCGGGAAGGAGCAAGGCCAAGTTATCAGAGGAGGCCTTTGAGCATTAAAAACACACAGATAAGAGAAGAACGATGTCTGCTGTATTTTAGTTCACTTTTTTATTTTGACTGTAATGCAAACAGGCATAAGTATTCCATAAAATCAGAAGATCGGAACTATACAGAAAGAGGTGCATGCTTTAGAACAATGTGGATATCTTGCAAACAGAGCCAGAGTCAGTCCGAGAGAGGGGGCTGGAGTACATTGTACGAATGGCAGAGATTTTAGCAGCATCGAGAGCTCAGAGGTAGGGGAAAACCATGTTTCTGACCGCTTAAAGCACTGGTATGATCAAATACAACACCGGCTCATCCCTGCTCCCACTGTCCCCACCCCTTCACTCCTCAGAAGAAACCTACCTTAGAATCACATGAGAAGCACGTTTACAAAATAAACACCCCCCTCCACACATACCTGTCTTATGGGATGGGAAGTGAGAGTGAAGTCAATGTGCCAGTCTTAAATCATGGCATCACTTTACAAACCAAATGAAGGCACAGTGACATGAGGAGGCGCTCAGGGGAGGGAGGAAGGAGCAGGAGGACCAGAGAGTAAAGAGAAATTGGAGTCCCATCTAGCAGAGCAGAATTTACCCACGTCTGAAGAGTTTAGAAAACCTCTGCAGTGGAAATCTTGGGAGTTGCCTGCCCCAAAGCTCCTACCTTCACAGAGTGGTCTCCTTTCTCAGCTTGGAACCACTGCTCTTCAGGAAAAAGGCCACCAGAAAAACAAAACAAAACAAAACAAAAACAAAACACCTACAAACCAACCTTTGATGCTTATGCTTTTCAAAGGTGCCTAAGGAAATCAAGGGAATAAATCCCTGTTCCTATTACAAAAATTAATTGGCACTGAATATCAAGTTCCCTGGGTGGCTGGCAGAACTCATGTTTCTAACTACATGCAATCTAAAAAGCAATGAGTCCTGGCTGAAAGTCATCTCACTCTATTCATCTACCGCCTGGGGAATTGTGTACAATCTAGAACAACTTGGGATGTTGCTACAGACTAAGGAACCTGTTCTCAAGCTCTTTTTAGCATATAGATCCCAGGGTTTCTGAAGGCATCTCAAGGCAGCAGAGCACATTTAACCTTGGGCATTCTGGACATACAGCTGTTTTATAGAATTCTAGCAAAGCAGACATCTTGCATTGAATTTCATTGGCTTTGAAGCCATCACTTCGATGCTGGGCACAGGAAGATTCTGAAACATCTATTTCTGGCCATCCTGTTGGGTTCTGTAAAGTGTATCTTCTTAAGACATGATTCCATACCATGATCACACAAGAGAAAAATAAAAAACAGGGTTGTCAGCAAGCAGTACTAATGCCTCTTGTTGGAGCTGAATATGTATTAAGGCAGTTGTGTTGCCTGTGGAATATTATAAAATCTCCATTAGCAATTATTGTGGGGATAAAATACTCAATTTCATCCAAAAATTTTTTTGATTTACATTCTTTTGCTTTCCCCACTCAAAGCCAACACATGAAAACAAAGCAACAAAAAGAAGCCCCCAAATCAGTTGGTCTTTTAGGTTGACTTTTTAAGTATCTCATCTTTTTATTTTTGAAGTACTAAGAATGCCCCCAGAAGAAAACCACTTTGTCCAGCATTATTCACTGGCAGATTTCTGAACCAGCTCTACAGAGAGCCGTGTCCCAACACTGCAGTCAGGCCATGCAGAAGAACACCTGCGGCTCAGCTCTGTACTGCACTCCTCAGCCCCAGAAATACTTCTGCAAGCCTTGGCTCCTGCAGGTCCCAGAGAAACCCCCGGTGTCTTCCCCACTTCCCTGCCCTGGCAATGAAGAGTGGCTGCAAAGCCTTGGCCTGCCAGCTCCTGTTAAATGAGAGATGCTGAGGGCAAGGCTCACACATCCATTTTTCTTGCTTTTGAAGTGTTTCCTCCCTCCTTCCATCCTGAAATCAGGCCAGGTAGGTACATGAATGAGTAGGCAGGGAAACAGCAGCCCTCGCAGTGAGGTGCCCTCACTGGTAAACAAGCCACGGCTGCTCAGCTATGAACTCTCAGTCTGGTTTTGTTGCTGTTGTTGGTTTTTCCCCCTATCGTTCTGATGGCTCAAACTTCCATCACAGACTTCACTGGCAACATCTGTAGGGGTGGAAGCCAAGACTTTCCAGCCTGCTTTATTCCTGACACAGCAGGAAAAAGGTAAGACTGCATTACAGTGCTTAAATCTTTCATGAGTTGCCCTTGTAGCCATGCCAGAATCAAGCCAATTTCAACCTCTGGTAAGATCTATTTTACTTCTGGAACCAAGTGCTTTAAAGCAGCAATCTCATTAGCTTTCTCCAGCTCCCCTGAATTCCTATTAAATACACATGGCCATATGGAAGAAGCTAGAGCTCAGATCTCCCCGTCAAGGGTAGATTTCAAATGGAGTACTAGAGTCATGCATTGCAGGCAAGTGCAAGTGCAGATCGACACACGCGAAAACACTGCCGTCATGAAATTGCTGCTGCTGCTGCTGTGAAAGCCTTATCCTGCAAGCTGCTGAACATCCCCAGCGCCACAGAAAGCCGGTGGTTGTGGAGGGCATTTTGTACCTGGGAGGACTCGGACGCTGGGCAGACTTTGTCCGAGTTCGGGAATACAGTTTTCAAGAGCATTCAGCACTGGCCAAATTTTGCTCCTCCCATTATAGCAGAAATTGTTCTAACAAAAGACAGAGCGACAACAAAGTTGAATGGTCCTGAAAGCGTGTCTCCATCTGTTCTGTAAAGGGACTGCGCTCCCCTCTGGAACGATCAAAGCAATTGCAAAGTTATCAGAGCAATTCTGAAGCCGAGAATTGGTCCCCAGTGAAGGCAGGAACAAAATTTAGTTTTGAGCATAGAATTTTTCCTTCCAAAAATGCCAGGAACTCTCTGCAGCTTCCCTGTAGGTATAAATCAGAGGACTGGAATGGCTTCAGTGACAGTGTGCTGGGAGGCGGCAGCTTTGGCTCGGGCTTGGTGCAGGTCCCCGTGGCTGCAGCACAAACACAGCCCCCAAAGCAGCTCAATAAATACGTGGTCTCCAGCCCGTGGCAGGTTCACAGAGCAGTGTGTGTGCAGAAGGTGGTGTCTGGTCTGCACCCACACCTAACCCTGCAACACCTCTGAACCTCCGCAAAGCCCCAGCAGCAGCAGGTTAATGGCAGAGCACAGCTGAGCAGGGCTGTCAGCTTGCTCTCGGTTATCCCGGGGGAAATTTGCACACTGAGAATGTCTCTTGTGAAATGAATGCATCTGTTCCTCTCAGCCCCCAGCCTCTGTGTGCTCGGAGCAGATCTGGAGGAAGCAGGAACCGGAGGGCACCCCCAGGGTCTCTTCCCAGCACAAGGCACTGCAAGTCCATCGCCACCCCCAGGTCCTGCCCTGGCCCAGCAGCTCCCTGCGCCTCTCGGGCACAACAGCAGGGCTGAGGAGGAGAGAGGAGAGATCTCCAGAGGGAGGTGGTGGAGGGAGCTCAGGGCAGGCGAGAGGCATCGCATGCCAACAAAGGAACCAGCAGAGTGCTTGGAGCTGGACTGGACACACGGCTCCTGCCTCGTCTCACCTCCTTTTCTGCATTGGTGCAGTCTCGTTTGCTCAGGACACAGCTGTGAATTTTCCAGTCCTGCACAGATACATTGGCTCAGACTGATTGGAGCATGGACTGAGCCCCGTGCCCACCACTGGGGACTTATAGGCCCAGGACAGGGCAAGGAGCGTGGCTGCCCAAACTCAAACCCCATTTTTCTGGCCAGTGTGGCTGCAGCTGGCTCAGTTCCTCCCGCGCAGTGAGCTCAGGTCTACCCAGCAATGATCGCGGAGGTGTTGTCTTTGCAAGTCTGCTCCTGATGGGAGAAGTCTCATTATTTTCCCGCTGTCTCTTATAGATAGCAATAGAAAGAAGAGCAGCAGACTCCCAAGCAGTCCTTCTGGGGAGATGAAACCTTTGAAGTCATCAACAACACAGGCAGCAGGTACCCTTGCACTGAATGAACAACTTATTTTCCCCTGCTAGTGGACACAGCAGGTCGGGAAAACACAGAACCGTTTCCCACGAGTTTTCAAGTTCGTACACAGCTTTCTGTGGACATGGGAAAAACTTACAAATTAAAACCTTTGAGAAAAAAAACAAAAACAAAAAAACTCATAGCATCTTTGTAACATCTTGAAAATCCAATCTCCTGTTTGGACAAGAGCCTCTTTGTGTTTAATCCTTGGGGAGCGAAAAGGAGCTGAGCTGCTGCAAAAGGGGCAGTGGTGGCGGATGTCCTCCAGGAGAGGGACTGGGGCACTGGGGCAGGACCGGTGTCCTTCAGGTCCTGGATCCCCGTGCTGCAGGAGCCGCGTGGGGCTGTGCAGGAGCCTGGGTGTGCAGCAGGCACCCATGGGTGATGAATTCATGAGCTGAGTGTGCAAGGGGCTTGGTTCCTCCATGCGTGATGCCCCCGGGCAGCTCTGGGCACCCATCCTCGGCAGAGCCCACCCCGCTCTCTGCCATTTATGCATGCTGGAGATATTGTGGCTGCAGCCACGCGTCAGACGTGTCACACCGAGACGAGCAGAGTCTAGACAAGCGGCGGAAGAGCCGCATTTGCGGAATGATAAAGCAGATCCACAGGTTTATTTCCCCCTCCGCCGTGGGAGAAAATTAAGCGCGAGGGGAGTGCGAAGCCCCTGCAGGTTAGGGGGATGAAGGGGGAGTTAAGACGTCGGAGACTGACTCAACGAAAAACAATCAGAAGTCCCAGTGGTGTGGCTTGCGAGGAGCAAATAGTCCTACTGAGACAGAGGGAGCAGGGACGAAGCTTGGAGCCCTGGGGACATAAAACCTCATGGACTTCGTGGCAGGGAGCACCGTCCTTCTGTAGGGCATTTCCCTCCCAAAGGGCTCTAAGGGACTCACCTACCCCACGCCCGCTGAGCTCCAGCCGGCGTTGGCTGCCTGCCCCGTTGGAAATCCCACGGAAGGCAAGGCACACAGCCGTGTGCTGCCCGGTGTCCCCACAGGCATCTGGGGTGGAAGCGGGGAGGCGGAGATGGCAGGCTTTGGGGCGCAGGGAGAGCATGCCAGTTCATCTCAGGCACAGACTGCAGCAGCAATAGGACTTCCACGTGAGAAGTTCCAGCAATACAGGCAGAAGGCGGGACAGGAAAAACCTAATTGCCAGCAACGCAGGATGAGCTAGAAAGAGGACGAAGACAAGGACGTTTCTTTGGGCACTCGCTCTTTTTCAGGCTGCGTTGCTGCTTCTACTAACAGGAGGAGCAGAGCACGACGTCTAGAGCCAGAATCATTTTTCCCAAAAGGCAGGGATGAGACATGAATTTGGTCTTTAGTTCTGTTTTTGCAGTCACAGGGCTGGGGGTTAGGGCCAGCCTTGCTGTACGTACACAGGGCCAAAGATTTGGCTCCCAGCAGCAGGACCTCTGCCCGAATTCACACATCCCAGCACCAAAGGGACCCCGCTCTGCCCTGCTGCCTGCCCTGGGGCTGGGGCACAACCCCCAGGGGAGGTCAGGGGGTGCCCTTTGTCCCATCCTGTCCAGCTTTCATCTCCCCGTGAGGAAGTCCCCAGGGGGTGACACGAACCCAGCCTTGCACCTCGCTGCAGCCCCAGCCCTGCCAGCCCTACGAGCTCGGCTGCGGCCACACCGTGGCAGCATTCCTTCGCATTTCGTGCCCTGCCAAGTGCTCTGCAGGGAGCAGCAAAACTGAGACCTTGATCTTGAATTCTCCAGCACCTGCTGGCCTTTAGCTCCGGGATCTTGGGCTGGAGCTGCTCCGAGCACCCAGGGAGTTGAGGCTGATGAAGGCGGTGACAGCACGAGGAGACGGGGCTGAGCGTGTGACATCTGTGCTGCCAGGGGAGCCAGCGCACCTTGCACCACGAGGCTGGGGGAGCAGCAAACCTCCTGCAGCTCTTTTTGTTCTGGATTCGTGTTAGGGCAGCTAATCCTTGCCCTCTGACTGCAAAGCTCATTGTTACAGCTCCCGGACAAACCCTCTGCTGTCGCCGGTGTGGGTGCTTTGCTCCATGCCGGCGCACAGTGCAGCAGAGGGGGGACAGCAGGGGTACAGCAGCTCCAACCTCCAGCCCCGTGTCCCTGCTTCCAACAGGGGCTGCAGCCGTGCCCTGCAGAGAAGGAGGACAAAAACCTTCCCGAGGGGGAGGAAGGGAGGAGAGGGAGGAAGGACGCACAAGGTCGCGTGTGCTTCACCTTGCGGACAGCTTTCCTCTGCTAAGGGGACTGATAGCTCCCCGCGACGGTGTTAACACATTGCTTGTGGGGCCAGGCTTTTGCAGCCGGGCTGAGGTGTGAGCACGGCAGGACCCAGAGTCACGCAGCAGCTTTGCAGCTGCTCTCACCTCCCTTCTCACACGAGACATCCCGTGCCGCTGGGACAGAGCCTGCGAGAGGGGACGGGCTTTGCCACCAAGGTGCCGCGTGTTTCTTTTGGCAAGTAGGTTGCTCCCTGCTGGCACTTTCTGCTCCCGAAGCCATGGATGGGGTTGGGGTCTGCTGTCCCAGAGCTGCTCGTGAGCCTGCACTAAGGTGGAAGCGATGCTCTCCAGGCTGCCAAGAGCCCTCGGTCGGGACCAGGCGATGGGAGCCTCTGTAGCCCTCCGAGCGCTGCCTTCCCAAGAGAATCCGTCACCGGGAGGTGCCTCCTGCACCCGGGGTTGGAGCTGCTTCTCTCCCAGCCTGGTGGCTTTCCAGTCTCACCTGGGAGAGGGTTCAAGCGTTCACAGCGTGCAAAGCTCTAGGATGCAGCCGGTCCCTGATCCTCTCCCCCCAGCGTCACGGCAGCAGGTCGCGCATCTCCTGCAAAGCCTCTCAGAGGACAGCCTGGCCAAGCAGCAGTCATTGCCGTGAGTTTCTCCCCAGCACAGACATCAGCCTGTGTGTTCGGTGCTTGCTCCCCTGCGGGAGGGCTTTCATGCCAGCAGAAGTGGGGATTGAGCAAAAGGAGAGACTGGTGGGGAGCAGAGGAGGAGGCAAACATAGCACGGGGGGCGTTTAGGAGGAACCGTGACACGTGAATCGGAGACGTCCCACCCTTTGGATCAACACAAAAACATTTGCACCCAGGCTGCTCGGGGATGAACAAAGTCCACAGGCACGAGGACATGGCACATTGACTGCCCCCAGCCTTGGGCGTGTGCCCAGGCCTGAACAAGTCCAAAATAATTAAAAAATTAAAAAAAAAAAAAAAAAAAAAGCAAAGAAAATGCAAGGATTCAGCCAAGGGCTAAGCTGGGGAAAGCGGGGCTGAGGGAATGATCCCAGCTCAGGTCAAGCAACAAGATCCAGCTATCGCCCAGCCCCAGCCACCTCTGCTTGCCCCCAAAACACTAAAACGCAGATGGTCACAAAGGTGGTGGTTTCATGCAGCTGCAAAATGCCCTCAGGAGAGGATGGGGAAATGGGAAGTTCTGTTAAGAGCCACTGCGGATTAGAAAGCCATCATACTTCAGTGGGAAAATCCAGGGAAGGGGGTGAAAAGAAACCGCCACAGGACAAGAGAGAGAGAGAGCAAGAGAAAGAGGAAGAAAAGGCAATAAAAATTATCATCATCATCATCAGGACACAACAACAGGACGAGAGACAGAGCGCTTTCCATGGGCAGTTCCCCGCGGAAAAGGAGCCACCGTGTCCATGAAATACAAAACCCAGAGCCCTCCGGCGGGAGGGGGCAGCAGGTGCTGGGACTGCTTGGGCATCCCCTTGGGGCGAAGGGTCCAGTTAGGAGCAGAAAACCCTGCAAGGGAAAGGGCAGAAAGGCCGGCCTCAGAGGGAGCGGTGAGCACCCTTGCTAATTAACACGGCTCTAACGAGGGGGAGGAGGATGGATGGAGCTGATGCTTGTTTTCACAGCAGTGGACAGACAGGAAAGCCTTTGGATCATTCTCCACTGGAGAATGTGGCCCAGAGACCCTCCTGCTGCGGGTCCCCACTGCCTGCATCCCCGGAGCCAGCCAGGGGGTGCTGGGGACAGCCACCCCTCACCCTGGGTCCCCCCAAAACCCTCCAGCCTGTCACTTGTGGGCTGGGCAGTGAAGGGTTTGGGTTTGCATCCGCGTTTGGATGGGATTGTCAGGTCTGAGCGCGTCGCTGTGACGGGTGCAATAGCCCGGGAAGGCCGGGGGGACTTGTCCTGGTGAGGTGACAGCTATTTCAGAGAGCCTGCCGTGCAGCAGCCTCTGCTCCCCGTGCAAAAATTAAATGCCTTTTCCAGCCGCTGCTACAAAAAGGGCCAAGATGTGCAGAAGTTAAAGCTCCCTTCCCCACCCCGCGGCCCACGCGCCGGGGGGACATGAGCAGGGGTTAAAATAAACGTGTCAACTCACTCATCCGTATCTTTTTTGCTCTCCTCAATGAATGCAATAGACTCGGATCTAAGGCGGTTAGTCACTTCGTACGTGCGCAGGGTGACTCCAAAAATATCCTCGTGGTACCGGCTGTCATCCTGGAAGCGAGGATGGGAGAGGGATGGGGGGAAAAGCGGAGGGTTTGCAGGCTGTGGTGCTCCTGGGGCACCAGAAGGCTGTGGTGGTGCCGTGGGCAGGTACCAAACACACACCGAGAGATGTGGGGCCGGTGAGATGATGGGACAGGGAGGGCAGAGACAAGCCGGGAGGGGAAACAACCTCCCCAAGGTCACGCTGTGGCAGTGGTGGGGCTGCTCGGGGTGTTGGACCTCCTTGGCTGGGTAACCCCAGGGCCATGTGGTCTTCAGGGACAAGTAGCTCGGGGTCAGCTCGTGTGTGAGTGCTTTGGCTTGCAAAGCAGCCAGAAAAGTCTTTGGGGGCTTCCTGGGTGTGTTCAGAAGGGGTAGTCCCATAGGGATAGGGCTGAGGTGTCCCCATGGGCAGAAGGTCCTGAGCTGATCTCACTTCTGCTTCAGCTGACCAGGACAGCACCCAAACAAACAGAGATTTTGGGAGGGGAGCCCACAACCCCCCCGCTGTGACAGAGTGGCAGTGGGGACTTGGCAAGGCGAATGAGCCCTGCCTGGGCTACCAAGGGTACCCCAAAAAGCCCTCACCCTGGGTATTAACACAACCCCAGAGCTCCTGCAGTGCAGGACAACTTCCACCACGTCCCCAAAACTCGGACAGCCCTCGGCTGGGTGCAGGCAGAGTGGGGGGGAGCCACAGCCCCCCTGGCACCCATCTCCTGGGTGCTGCCCCTCGTGCAGGAGGAGGCAGCAGGTGCAGCGCCCGCAGCAGGAGCGGGCACGGCCGCCACTCACCCGCAGCTTGCTGATGAAGGCGCCCGCCTCCTCCACCGACAGCTGGCCCTGCTGCCTCACGATGCGCTGCACGGTCTTCAGGACGTCCCCAGCCATGGTGACGTCCCCGCAGACGTAGATGTGGCCTCCCTGCTCCTTCAGTGCTTTGTACACGGTTTGGGCCAGCTGCTCCTGCAACACGTCCTGCACGTATTTCTTGGGGAGGGAGGAAGAGGTGGGAGATGAGGTTAATTATGGATTCTCAGCCCCATCCTGTGGACATGCTTTAGGGGCTGCCTCCAGCAACACCACCACCTCCTTGGGGGGGCTGGAAACGCATTGCTGCACCACCCACAGTGATGGGGAAGATTTGGGGCCAGCAGCAAAGCTTCATTTGGCTCCTGTTTGTGCTGCTTCTGGACCACCCTGCCTGCTGACATCCTCCTTGCCCACCTGCTGCCCTCAGCACGGGGCTGAATCCCCCCCAGGACCCTCCTCCAGCATCCCCAGCCGGGCTCGGAGCAGCGCCCACCTTTGGTTTGTCCGGCTCCCGGGAGTAGGCTGTGTACAGCTCTCTGAAGACACCTTGGGTTTTGGCAAAAAGCGTCTCCTCTTTGTAAATGTGGTCGATCCTGGACTGTCGGCACCCAAACACCAAGACCATTGGACAAGGCTTCAGGCCTGGGGGATAGATGGGGGAAGCTGTCACAGCCCACCGTGCCCTCCCCGCTGCAAAACGCACCCCTGCTGGCAGCCCCAGCGCCCCGTGCCAGGAGCCTGCCCTGGCCAAATGAGCAGGGGGAACACCAGCAAGGAGGAGGTGCTGAGTCTGGGGTCACCTAGGAGGGGGATGAGATTTTGGAGAAAAAAAAAAAATAAATTTCCATTTTTCACTGCTCATGTAGGGAAAAAATATTTTACATAAATTCCAATTTTACATAAAATGTCCTTAAGCAAGCCCAACACTATATAGTTCTACCACAAAACCTTATAGTTTTACAGGGAGATTTTCATGGAGTTTGGGCTGAAGAGCAGCCCCTTCGAGGAGGTCCAGCAGGAGGCTGAGCCCCCCCACGGCACCATCCTGGGGCTCCTGGGTGCTGCTGGAGCTGAGAGGCAGGAGGAGCAGCCTGGACCCACCTTTGTGCTGGATTTCAAAAAGCCGCTGCTGCCAGAAGCTGCGGAACGGGGCGATGCCGGTGCCGGGGCCGATGAGGATGCAGGGCACCTGGGGGTCCTGGGGCAGGTGGAAACTGGGAGCCCTGCAGGTGGGGAAGATGCTTGGTTAAAGCCAGGCACAATGCTCCCTCCCTCGCCTTGCCCACGGCAAGCTGAGATGCTGCCCGGAGAAGCAGGGTAGAAAAAGAGGTGAAATCCCCCAAAGTGACATTTTAGGGCAGAAGAGAGGAGCTGCGAGGGATTCAGGTGTTCGCAAAGCCAGCCTTGTTTTCTCTGCACCCTTGGTGCTGTGCAAAGAAGGACGAAGGGGAAAGGACTCATCCTCTCCCCCCATCCTCACGGCTCACCCCTGGCGGGCCACTCACCCCCTCACGAAGCAGGGCACTACTTCCTCGGGCTGTATCCGATTGAGCCAAGAGGAGCAGACTCCGTGGTGGATCGGGCCTTCTCCATCTAGGAGGGAAGAGGAAGGTGTGTGCTCGCCACGCCAGCCAGCTGCTCCAGTTGCTCTCCTTCCTGAAACCCTCTGAGACCTGGAGCCTGCCAGCATCTCTGCCTCCATCCCCATGAACTTGGCAGGATTTTGGCACTTGTGTCCCTCTGTGGGGCTACCCAACTGCCCCCAGCACCAGCCCTGACAGAGCTGGGCCTCTGTGGTACTTGGGAGGCCCCCAACTTTTCTTGGTCCTTCATGGCAGAAGCAGCAGCATTCCGTGATGCTTGCAGCTCAGCCCCAGCCGAATGGCCAGCATCTTCCCCCATGTCCCACCCGCTGCAGGGCCAGAGGGGCTCTGGCCAGCCACACCACAACCAGGGCTGCTCGGGCACTCAGTGCTTGCACAGGTACAGCAACCTGGCTGGTAGTGACAGTGTGAGCAATAAAATGATCCCACACAGAGCCATCGGGGTCTCTATAACACTGTTACACGTGCCAAGTCCGGCACCCCTGCGATATGCTGCCCCATGACGGATGCAGGACAGCAGTGCCGTGGGCTGAAGGAACCCACCCCCCGCAGGTAGAAAAGCTTTGAAATCACACCTCTGCCAGACACCCGGTGGTGTTTCCCACCTGCTACTACTTTTCCCCTGCTCCCCACCCCAAGCCCGTCTCCGAAGCCCCCTGCAGCGGCGCGGTACCTCTAGTGCGGTACGAGACCACCGCCACGGTGAGGTGCACCTCGCCGGGGTACATCTCCGGGGAGGAGCTGATGGAGTAGTAGCGGGGCTGGAGCAGGGGCAGCTGCGTGAGCAGCAGCGTGGAGGGCATCTGCACCGAGGGGAACTCCTCCAGCACCTCCACGATGGTTGGGTTCTTGGACCACTTCCACTCCTCGTACTCCTGCAAGCCCTGCAGCCGGGGAAAGAGCGCGGAGAGGGCTGCAGCATCAGCTTCTTCTGAGCTGGGAGCCTCTACCCATATCCTACAGGGTCTGTGGGGAAGCTGGGGTGGGTGGCAGTGGAGGAAGGCAGGAGGAGCCCTGCTGTAACCGGTACAGACCCAGCCAAACCACAGCATGTGCAGCACGGGATGAAAATGTCCTGGTTGTCCCCAGGGTCCTGAGGAACTTGGGGCTCGGTCACAGCGCTCAGTGATGGAACATCTGGCTTCAGCACCTGTTTCTGCTACAATCCCCTGCCTGGCTTCAAGCCACTTGGCTTCAAACCCTTCGCTTGTGCTGGAGAGTTCAGGTTATACCCAGAAAGTTATTTTATCTGGAGCCAAAAGGGCTGGACTACGAAACAGAGTGAATGGTCCCGAGAAAAGGAGCCACTTGGAAGTGATGCTGAAGAGAAGGGGCTGCACCCTGGGGCATGCCACGAACTATTTCTGGGCTCACAAGGAGCCACTTGAGGGAATTCTGCTCTCACCTCTGGGAAAGAGAATCGATGGCAATGGCCTTCCAGGTCTGCCACGTGTAAAGGAGGAGGAAAAAAAACAGCCCTACAAGTCCCTGCTCATGGCATTTGAGGCTTTACCTTGCTGAGGACCTGCAGACGTTTCTTCTCCTTGTCACTGGTGGCCAACAAAGCAAACTGCTGCAGCAGCAGGGGGGTGGGAGGGGTGGTGATGTCCAAATAGTACTTAAAGGCCTGGAAGATGGTGCACGGTGGGATTCGGTTCTCATCTGTCCAGTTACTGATGACACCTGCCGGGAGGGAACCCAGCACAACCAGGGGATCAGCTGAGCATAAGGACACCTCCTGGCTTCCATCCCCACTGCTGGGCTCGTTTATGGAGGCTGATACTCCACCACCCTCAGCTTTGGTCATTGAGTTGAGGTGGTTTTCCACCTCCTCTCACACCATGCATCAGGGCATTGGACTCATCCCCAAAATATAATGCTGGAGGGGACCATCAAGATCCCTTAACTCCTCTCCAGTCCCAGACATTGCTCATTCCATGAGAACATAAACACCTGTAATTGTCTGAAGAGCAAGGAAACCTTTCCCCAGGGCCCTGCTCAGCCTCCCAGTGCAGGTGAGCCATGGCTTTGGGCAGCAGGAGGTGAAAGAAGGAGCTTCCAATCCAGACAACTGCACCGCTGAGATGGGAAACAATCTCTCCTGGAGGCCACCGACCCCTTCGGGAGCTATAAGGACCACTTGTAGGGTGGCCCTGCTTACCCAGAGCTGTATTCCTCTCCTCCAGGAGCTCCACCTTCACCAGCTGGTTGGCCGGGGGGGCATCTTCAAGCCTGTCGATCAGGGCATTGACCAAGCCTTCGTGGTTCCCTGGAAAGACGCCCAGGTGGTCCCCAGGCAGGTACTGCAGCTCCTGGTGCCCGTTGGTGTGGAGGCGCAGGAAAATGGTCGAGCGACTGCAAGGAGACAAAGCAGGACGTGTTTTGGGGACATCCTTCAGGGAGCTGTGGAGCTCTGCTCTCGAGAGATGCTGGTGGCAAATCCGAACCCTGGTGTCCCACTGAGCTTGTCCCCAGAGTCACAGCAGGGAGCTGGAAAGGACACGGCAGCGCCCACCTCCCCCTGCCACTGACCCACCCTCAGGGGCTTTCTAAAAGGGAGAAACAATTTAGCCTCTTGCTTCCACAACTTCATCCTTCCTGGGAATTAGCCCAATAAGTACAGCAACCCTTCCTCCCATCCTCCTGGGCAGGAGGCCACACCGTGGCTGGGGTCTCGTTGGACAGAAAGGCAAGAAAACCCCTTGCCAGGCTCACATCGGCCGTGGTTTGCACAAACATGGTATGCACGGGACATTTGGGGTCACAGACACATGCAGCACCATGTGCACAGGTGCTTGGCTCCTGCACACCCTAGGATGTCCATGCCTCCTACCTGGACTTGGGGCTCTGCAGGTTCTGGCGTGTGATCAGCCGGGCTGCGTAGACGCGTTTTTTGTGGATGCTGTACAGCCCTGCGGAGGAAAAGCACCCGTGAAGAGATGCAGCAGAGCGTGGCCAAGGCAATCCCTTGGGATTGGGAGCCCTGGGGGGGGAACCAAGCACGGGACCCTTCCTCTAAGGATGGAGGAGGGTTTGGAAACCACCCTCAGGAGGTGCGGGGACATGGCCTCATGCAGCGGGGCTGAGCGGTGCAGCAGACCGTCCGCTGCGGGAGCGGTGCCGAGGGGCCAGGTGTCAGGGGGCCGGACCTGCCATTGCACCGCAACGCTCGGCGGAGCAGCATTTGGACAGGGCGAGCTTGGAAAGCTCCCAGGTTTCCAGCTCAAAAAAAAAAAAATAAAGGGTCAGGAGGAAGGGAGAGCAGCTCGGATCCCAACATCTCTGCTGCAGATACAGGCGGGGACCTGTTGGAGGGGCCTGAGACCCACACGAATTCCCCCTCGGGCATGTGATGGGGGGCAGAAGCAATGCTGAAATGCTGAGGATTTAATACAGAAGGATGGGGAATAAGCACGGAGGTCTGGCCCCTTTCCCCCCACTGCGTCTTCTCTCCTCCACCTGCCCCTGAGCCCTCTGGGGTGGCTCCGTCTCTGCACCTTGTGTGAGCTCCGGTGCCTCGGCCACGTAGGTCAGGCGAAATTTGCTCCTCTTCCAGCTGCGGTCGTTGCTGATGAGGGAGTTGTTGGCCTTCTCGATGTTCACGTCATCCCCCACGCAGAAGACATCGCACGCTGCCTGCAGCACACACCGGGCTCTCAGGCAGCTCCCTGGCTTCTGCCACATCCCACCGAGCCCCAAACCTCCCCTTGTCCCCTAGGAAACCCCAGTGGCCCTGGGCTGTCCCAGGGGCATTTACAGGCTCTGACCCCATGCCCTCCTCATTCCTGGAGCCCGAGGGTTGAGGATCATCACCTTGAAGACCTTCTTGGCCCAGGTCCTGAAGGACTCCTCCTGGCCGCAGAGCTCGTCCCCTTCTCCCATGCGGAGGATGCGCTCCCCGCCCAGCTCCTCCAGGAGGGTGTCCACCGCCCGGGCAAAGGCGCAGAAGTGGGGGTAAGCACGCGAGCCCAGTCCAAAGACGGAGAACCTGCAGAGGGAGAGGTGATGTGGCTGTGGCTGCAAGGCTGGGAAGGACATCGGGGTCTCCCCGTGCTGCGCCACCACAGCCCAAGAGCATCCCCATCCCTCAGCAGGGGGGAGCAAAGGGGCTCCGAGCAGCTCCAGCTCTGTCCATCCCAAGGACCTGCAAGAACTCCTCGCCTCCCTCCCCATCCCGTTTACCTGACATTTGCCAGGGGCCCCGTGCTTTCGAAGTTGTCCCTGGAGTCGGGGCCGTCGCTCGAGGATTTCCGTGCGTCCGAGTAGGAGGAGACGCTGTTGAAACGGACCTTGTAGCTCCTGCAAACAGCAACATCAGGCATTACAGTGGGGACCCATCAGGCTGCGTGCTCAGAGGGGACCAGACATTGGAAAAGACCGAGCCAGAGCAGGCTCAAGCTCAGGGCTCAATATTTCATGGGCAGATAGCGCGATCAGCAGCCGGAGCAGAGAAATGCTGCGTCCCCCCAGCTGGATCTGGTTTGCTGCGTGGGGTCCTGCGGTCACCTCCCGATGGGTTGACCCACCTGTTGGTCCCCACCTTGTCACCAGACAGGGGCTTGGGCTTTACCTGTCCTTCCCTGGCTGTGCACAAGGTCGGGCACACGTCTGAGTGTTTTTTTCTTTTTTTCCAATTTGTAGGAAGTGAAAAAAGGGAGTGAGAGAAGAGGGGACGAGGAGGGGGAAGGGGAGCAGAGAAAAAAAAAAATCTGACAACAGCAGAAGTATTTCTGAATTGAAACATCTTCAGAAATTGCTCTACACAAGGGTTTCTAAATATACTGCCCGAGCAGCGAAGCAGTAGTGTGTGGATGAGTCACAGCAGCCCTCCGGCACCCGACACCACACGGAGGAGACAGCCCCCGAAGGAAACAGCGGGGTTGGGGTCACAGAGCCCAGTGCTCCAGCCCTGCCCCACAGCCTCCTCCTGCCTGCCCAGACCTCTTCTGCCCTGCTCCCTGGGGCTCCTCTCTGCTCCCCTGCCCCTCTCCGGCTGGATGGAGCCACCTCTTTCTCCCCTGGGGTTTTTTGGGGAAGGCAGGAGGGCACAGCCCGCAGGGTTAGACGGGCACGAAGCCCAAATTCCCCGCTTGGGTGCTGGGACCGAGCTGCTCTCTCCATCCCCTTCCTACAGACACCAGGCTGCCGCTTGTCTCCAGACGGTCTCCTCCAGGCTGCCTTTTCTCATTGCAATTTTTTTTTTTTTCCATGCTTAACGTCAGCATCTCTGCTGCCATCCAGAGCCACGACCTCTCGGCCTGTCCCGGGGGGGCCATTGGGAGTAATTTATTCCCTCCCCCTCTGCAGTCACCTTTTTTCCGTATGTGAAATCTGCTACCACGCTGCATTTCTCTCTTCTCCAGAGAAAATAGCTCTCACCCTTTAATCTGTCCTCATAGGTCACCGTTTGCAGCGCTCCCACCACTTCTGCTGTCAGGTAACCGAGCCACGGGCTGCTCTGGCTCTCAGAAACTCCTGCCAGTCCCTTAAATTACGTTTAGAGGTGACTGGGACGGCTGAGACCAAGCTCAGGAGCTTTTGTCCTCCTCAAATCCGCCTGGCTTGCTGCGGGTGGCACCTCCACACCCAACCCTGCGTTGCACCAACCCAGCCCCAAGGAGAGAAGAACCACGGGCAAAATGCTTCTTCTCCATCCAGGCACCTCCAGGGCGTCCTGTTTTTGTCAGCTGCCCCCGTTGAGGGGTGAGGCTATCAGAAAAATAGTGGGGTTTTGGCTCCTGAGCCCTGTGGGGTCACTCGGCGAGAATAATCCAGGGCTGCAGCATCGCTAGCAGAGGAGAGGCTCAAATTGGTGGGCAGGGGTGGAAGCATCACCGTGCCCTGCAGTGCTCTCCAGCCCCACCAGCACTGCTCTGCGCTGCTCAGGCAGAAAGTCAGGGCTTTGGTGCCCCTTTAAATCCCACTCCATCACCAACCGGGGCTAATTCTACCTTAATTAAGAAGCAGTCGTGAGCATCGCTGTGATAACTCAGGAGAGGCCCCACCGCGGAGCAGTGTCCCGGTTAAGCAAAATATATTGTGGCTTAGTGGCTGAAGAAAGAGGAGGCTGCAGAAGATGAACACCTTGCCAGCAGCCCTCACTTCCCAGCCTCTGGGACAGGCACTGAGATTCTCGAGCCTCCTCTTCCACCAGCGAAGGATTTTCTAAAACCCCAATTACCAGCCTGAGCCCACAGGTACGCCTGACTCGGTGCTCTTGTCCTCCCTGGGACCTTCACCTGCTCCATCCCCGGCTCTCCAGGCAGGTCCCATCCCTTGGACCTTTGCAAACTTGCAGCTGGGATTTCTCACCCCCTCCCACGAGGAGACAGACAGAGAAATAGCCTGTCCTGGCTGTGGGGCTGCAGGTTTGCAGGGGTTGGGAGTGGGAACAGAAGGGTTTTGGGGTGCTCTTACTTCCTCTCCTCCAGGTTGGAGTTGGGGTTCTTCATCTCCATAAGCGCACAGCCAAATTTCTACAGAAAAAAAAAAGAACAAATGAACAACAAAAAAAGGCTGTCAGCTTTTCCAGTCCCCCTGCAGGAGGTGAAGCAGCGACCCGGGCTGGGGCTCTGCCCGCTGTCTGCCTGCGGTGCTGCTGCACGGGGCAGCTTTAGCACAGCATTAGCTGTGTGTCTCCCTAGGGATCGCACAGATATCCCCACTCCAGATCAGGCTGGAGGCAGAGGCAGGCGGAACACCAGCTATCACACAGCACCCAGACCTTTTTGTGGCCATCTGAGGTCAGGACGATGTTTCTCCACCCATCCCCAGGCCCCTCTCCTCTGCCATGCCCCTGCTGCAGCCCCCAGCCCCCGTGCTCCATCCTACCTCCCCGTTCTCAGGTGGGTCTCCATTGCCAAAGGTGCTGGTGACCACCAGGACCATGGTTTCATGCTCCAGGTGCACGATGTCGTACTCGTCCATGGACATCACCTGGGAGCAACAGAGGTGTTAACAAGAGGCCCTGGGTGGGAAATCCACCTCCAGGGGTTTCCTCGGGCCACCTGGACGCACACATAATAATCTTCCAGGGGCCGGGGGCTAGCAAATACCTTGGCATCGAAAGCGTGCTTGAAGATTTCGCAGAGGGTTTTAGCGTAGACCTGTGACTTCCCCGTTTCCGTGGCGTACAGGATGGTGGCTTTCACCCTCTTGGCCATGGCCTGTCCCATCAGCTTGGCTGAGAACTTCACAGCTCTACGGAGCACGAATAAATTGTGGTAAGAGAGCCTGCTGCCTTGTCGGCACCTCTAGCCCAGGCTATTCACACCATTTTATTTAGGATTAAGTGAACAGCCCGCCCTAAAAACTGCAGCAACACTTTCGTTGCTGTTAGGTGCCAAACAGAGGCTATGGGAGAGCCTTGAAGGTTGAACGAGGGGCTCGAACAGAGCTGGAGTGTCCCCTCCACCTGCTATTCCCTCGCTCCTTGGTGTACTTCTGCACATTAAAGCCACTTCGCTTTCCCACCACGGCAGTGTCCCCAGGGCTTACCCCGGCCTCAGGGGCAGGGCAGGGAGGGACTGCAGATCTGAGCGCTGCAGTGTGGCCAGCACCAGCCTTCCCTGTCTGAACAGGCATCAAAATCTCACTGCAGCCGGTGCCAAGTGCCACTGGTTCAGCCGATTAGCTCAGATCCAGGATTAATGGTGAATTGCAAAAAAAAATTTCTTTCCCCCCCACATCGGGAACAATAGAGATTTTTTTTTAAATTACCTGCCGCGCTCACATTTTTACAAAATCATTTATCAGCCGCACACACACAAATAAAGCTTTGCTTCTCCTAACTCAATGGCTCAATTAATCTTCCTGCGCTCTCCTCCAGCCCCGGGCTGCAGCGCAGACCCAGGCACCGGTGTCGGCCTCGGGAGTATATTCATCAGCTGCTGATCATGGTTATGGATGCACCACGGAAAAGAAAAAAAAAGCTTACAGAAGGTGACAGCTGAAGAGTGGGAACAAGCTGATAGGAGAGACACGGGAAACTGAAGCGTGGGGAGATGCTGTGAGCAGCACGAGGCCACCTGGCAGCCTGGCCCTCTCCAGCCTTGGTCCAGGGCTCTGCTTCCTCAGAGCCCACTGTTCCAACCCAAACCCCCTGCTCCAACCCAAAGCCCCCTGCTGATGGCCCCCGGGAGTGGCATTTGGGCCAGGATCAGCCGAAGCATCCAAACAACCCTTCATTTCTGCATCCCTGCTGACTCGCTGCTTTGGCAGGGCAGGGGTGGCCCATTGCCAGGGGTCAACCGGCCGTGAAGAGCAAATCTCAGCTTGGCCCCAATCCCTCTGCTACCTGCAGGATGATTCCTCAGTCCCACCACCCCCTCCTTGCCGCAGGGATATCCAGAGACTTAGACATGCACTGGAGATAAGTGGCTAAAGAAAGGGGGACACGAGTTCCTCGTCACTCCTGCCTGCTTGGCCCTGAACCAGGAGGAGTGATCTCTGCCCCAGGAGGCTGTGAAAGCGGAGACAGGTAATAAAGCCTCAAGACAAGATAAAGCCATTCCTGAGTACTCCAGTACATCTTACTGAGGAGTGAACCAGCCTGGGAGGAGAGATGAGATGCAACTCCCGGTATTCAGCTGGCCACACGAATCTGAAGGTCTAACGGGATGTTCCAAGGGCTGCTGGTTTCTCCAGGCATCCCTCCTGGCAGCTAAAGCCTTCGGCAGCCTGGGACCCAGGCTCACAACCCATCAGTTTGTACATACCCAAACCCAAACCCAGGACCAGCCCAACGCGTTGTAGGGCTTTTCAGATCCCGCTGGTACTTACTTTGCTAACTTCTTAAAGCCAATGGCCCTCTTCTTGGTGGGCGTCCCGTTGACCCCTTTCCAGACGTGGGTGTTCCAGGGGTCCGGCTAGGAGGGAGAAGAGAGCAGCAGCTGATGGGCAGCGCTCAGGGCTTGGAGAAATGCTCTAACCCCAGCTGAATCCCTCTGGCTGTGAACAGGAGGACTGGCTGGCATCTTCCCAGCCCTTCATCTCTCCTACAGGTCCCTGGAGACCCATGGGTTTTCTCGGGGCACTTGGACAGAAAATTGTGGTGTATAATAAAACCCCTGTGGCTTCCAACAGCATCTGGTCAAACGCCCTCTCACCTCTGTGACGAGCATTAACAGGCCACGAGGAACAAGAAGGGGAGAGGCGATGCGAGCACATCCTCCCCTCCCAGCCCACAGGTTTCTCTTTCTAAGAGGCCCTCTGGGAAGGGGAGGCAGCTGAAGCAAGAAACAAGAGCACAGAAGCTAATTCAGTGCCCTCGCAGGCGGCTGGCTGTAATCAGGGCCAGGAATCATCGGGGTTCCTGCTGGATTGGTTATAGAAATGAACAGACTGCTCCCGTTTGGTGATTGTTCCTTAAGGGCTCTTGACTAAAGGTCACATTGTGTGACAACCACCGGCGCAGGGGCGGGTGGCTAACGAGGGTGTGTTTGCTCAGGGCCCTTTTCCCCGTGGTCTGAAGTGTTAAATACTCCAGCACCAGCATCTCAGCCTGCTGGGCAGGAGCCCCCCTCATCAAATTGTTGGATCCCCGGGCTCGCAAGAGGCAGTCAGGCAAATCTGTAAGCTGGGGAGAGGAGGGACGTGGTGGCTGGCAGGGCATTTCCCCAACTACAAAGCAAAGAGCAGAATGAGGCCCTTGCAGAGGGATGAGCTTTGCTTAGTCCTGCTTGACCCAAGGGTTGGGCCCCATAATTCCAAGGATGAGCAAAAAAACATCATTCTGGGAAAAATGGGAATATCGAGGGGGTCCTTATGCCGTGCTAGAGGAGACCATCAGTTGGACTCATTCCAACTGATTCCTCGAGGGGCAGCTTGTTGAAGGTGTTGGGTGATGGGCACAGAGGGTACCTGGTACTCGAAGGAGGGTGTGAGACGGTAGTTGAGCATCTCCTGATGGAAGACGGGGGTGATGCTGCCCGACATCGGCGGGACGATCCACACCCAGTCGGCAGGGCAGCCCCCGCGGCACCGGTACTCGTTCTCCATGTGCTTGATGAAGGACTCGGTGGCCGAGTGGTGATCCACGATGGTCACCTTGTCGCTCTGTCGGAGGGAGAAGGGAGCCAAGAGCTGCAGGTTAACCCTCTCCAGGAGGTGAAAGCCTTCCCAAGTAGCACAGTCATCAAGCAGTGATTGTGGGGCTGATCGGCTGCCCTTGTCCTTCCTGGGGGCATGCTAGGGGATGGGCATTCCTCCTGTTACTTGGTAAGGACCAAGAGGGCACGGATGAGCTGGATCCATCCCCTGAGGAGCTTGTTCAGGGCTTGCAGGACTGAGGGATCAGTGCTGATCCTGCTCTGGGAAGGACTGCCACCTGCAGAAGCTGTGCTTCCAAGGACTCCTTTTGCTACTCAGCATTTAAGTGCAAGAGTGGGGAGAACCTGGGCCAATTTGTGCCTCACAGGTGGGACAGAAGGGCTGGATCCTGCCCCCCAGGCACTCCCGCTGGCCCAGCAGAGCTCAGACACCGGTAGCGCCGTCTTTCCAACATCCAGGGCAGAGACATCATTAAATCTCCCTGCAGGCTCCTGGAACAGCTCAGGAGGAGGAAGGCAGGGCACAATTTCAGCTGAGTGCAGCAGCAGCTGCCGTCGTCCTTGTGCAGAAGTCTCCATCGCTGTCCCACCCGGTCCCGGTGACCCAGACCCTGCAGCTCACCTACCTGGAAGCTGTACAGCACGGCGATGTTGATCTCCACCAGGGCTTGGTCCTTCCACAGCGAGGAGGTTTTCCTCATATCCAGATTCATTTTCTTGGCCACTTGCTGTGACAAAACGAGGCAGCAGGTGAAGATTTTACTGGCCGAGAACCAAGAATTGAAGATCTCTGCTTGGGGAGGGGGACCCAAAGGAGGGACCCAGGCTGGCACAAGACACGTGCAGGGCAGGGCAGCTGACGTTTTGCCTTCCTCTGTGAATACGGGGCCTGCCTCTTCCTCTCCTCGATGGATGTGGGCCCTCCACCTCCTGCACCCGCAGCTCCCCTCGTAGTGCTGCTTTCCCAACATTTTGAGAAGTCTCAGGGGTGCTAAATAGGCACCACGCTGGCTTGTTAGCTACCAGCTAACCCCTTAGCACCCAAAAAACCCTTGCCAGCCCACCGCACCCTTGGCTGTGTGGCTCCAGGAGAACATAGCTGCTATCTATATGGGAAACCTGGGCATCCCCATTGCTGTCCCCGTGTCCTGCCCTGTTCCCCAGCACCTTCACTCACTGCCCGCCTCGAGGAGACGGATTTACCTCCAGAATGTTGTAGCGAGAGTTGTCACAGTAGTCCCGGACCCCGATCTCTGTGCCCATGTACCAGCCGCTGAAGGGGCAGGCGGAGAACTCCAAGCCGCCGATCTCGAGGAGCATGTTGGACACGGCTGGCAAACCGTACCACTTCAGGCCCAGCTCCTTAAACCATTCAAACCTGCCAGGATATAACTGGGTCAGGCAATCTGCCAGCCCCCCCAGACCATCTAGAGGGCAGGTAACCCTGCTGCTGACCACCGGGACAAAGGACGTGTGAGAAGAAAGTTTCCTGAAGGTAATATCTCATATCTTATGGGGAGAGGGTGCTACATCAGGAATGTAACAGGGAAAAATCCTGGGAGACTTCAAGCAAAGGGAAACCAGCCCAGGGACAAGAACACAAGTTGATTTCCATCGCAGGGGAAGGAAGGTCTGGAAGTGGAAGGGTAAAGCACCCGATACATGACAGGGAAGTCTAAGCAGAGATGGTTTAAGGTGAACCCAGAGGAGCTGATCCCCGCCGATCCCCTCTGACTTACTTGGGATGCCGGATGGGCACTTCCAGCACGAGCTCGGGGGGGATTTCAAAGAGCTCGGGGTCGTTGCCGTTGGCTTGGAGGAGCAGGGGCAGGATGTCAAAGCGCCCGTGCGGTGCCTTCCAACCTTGCTGGATGCAGATCTACAGCCAAAACAACAGCGGGGTTAGAGGTCCCTGCAGGCCACCTGCCCTTTGGGTGCCGAGCAGTGTCTCCTAACAGCATCCCTGCTCAGCCCAGCCCCACGGCTGGTACCTCTGTCAGCTCCACGTTGGCAGGGTCTCCGAGGATGGAGCCGTCGGGCTGCTTGTAGCCGGCGTAGCGGATGAGCTGCGCGTTCCAGATGCGGAAGTCGTGCTTGCTGTCTGTCCGCTGCGGGAAGATGGTGATGGCAGATCTGCAAGGACGGGGCAGCACCGTGAGCACCCAGGCTGTGACAGCATGGGGCAGGGGTCTTCAGAGGGATGGAGATGTGTTTTGGGGAAATGTGCAGCCCCTGCCTGCTGCCACCCTGAGCTCCTGACCGTCTGCTCGTGTCCTGGGCAAGACCCTAATACTTATTTTATTTTCTTCACTGGGAGGAATTTTGGCCAGGTGTACTCCAGCTCTTTTTTGGAAGGAGCTGGGGAGTTTGCAGCAGTTTGGCTCCAGGCAGAAGCTGGCAACATAGGGTATCAGAGAGAGAAAGGGAGCCGCCTGTGCTCTGCTTTTTAAGTAGAATGCAGGAAGAGTGAAATAATCAGAATATCTGCTCTTTGAGGTCCCACAGAGAGCGAGAACAGATATACTCGGACCAGCAGGACACCTTCCCTGGGCATCAGGTCCCTCTCGTGCTCCTCAGGACAGGGGCTGGTTACAGTGACCCCGCCGGAGGAGACAATGCCAGCAGGACCCAGAGCCAGACCGACACATCCACGGCACTTTGGGCAGAAACCCTGGGGACTCCCCGGTGGCTCACCTGAGGTTCCCTTTGTTGGTGGCATATTTGATGTGGTTGCAGATGTAATTGAACATCCCGTGGGCTGTGGTGCAGTCTCGGGCATCAAACACCTGGAACAACAGAAGGGATGGTGGTGATGCTACAGGATTTGTGCTCCAGCTCCTAAGGCAGAGCCTGGCAGCAGGAACACAGCACAGGGAAAGTCCTAGAGGTCACCTTGATCTGTTTGGGACCTAGAGCTCTATAATTATATGTTCCCTGCCTTTACAACATGTGGACATCTAATCCAGCTGCTCCTTCTGCTTTGGAGTGGGGATTGGTCTCCTGCCCAGGCAAAAACTTCCCGAGCCCAGTGCTAACAACTGGCTGCTGCTGTTTCTGGCTCCTCCACCAGCAGTTCTGATTTCTCCTCTTCTGTGCAGACTGAAGGTTGGAATGTGAGAGGTGTCAGCCAGGTCTGAGGGACACTGAGAAGGTGTGGAAATCAGGAAAAAGGCTCAGCAGGAGGCTTGAAGCCAGCTTCTTGCAGAAATGGCTCCCCCAAGGCTCAGATGTGCCAAAAGAAGAGCTGAAGGCTGAGCTGGGAGCGAAGGAGGCCCAGCCTCCTGGCCCTGCACGGTGCCCATGCCCAGCGTGAAGCAGCCCCAAGAACTGCTGAGCAGCACTTGAGCCATGCTCTGGGCTACAAAGGGACCTGTCACCTCCACACCACGGGATTCCACTAGAGACCCCTAATTCAGATCCTACACACAGCCTTCCAGCTAGTCAAAAAGGTACCAAATCAAATTATCTCCTGCCCTAGCATCTCTGTACCAAAGCTGTGTCCTGCTGCTGTTCTCCAAAGCTGCAGCTTTGGAAGCAGCGTGTGAGATACTGGAGCAGCGTCTGGTTTGGGGAAATGTTCCCTAGGGCAGCAGATTCCAGCTGGCCCCGTTTCAGACACAGACACCTCTGTACACCTTCCCTCACAGATGCTTTTCCATCTCCTGCTGCCTTCCCAAAGCTGTTGAGATGAGTGTGGTTGCCGTGTGCCGCGTTCCCTCAGGTGTCTGAAAAGCGAAATTTGCCTTTCCAAATCCCCAGGGCATCCTTTGGCAGCTCCGGCGCTCACCTGCAGCTTGGACCACTGAATCCTGCCCACGCAGCGGGCTGCGTTTCGCCAGGCGTGCTTTGCTCCGTAGATCAGCTCCGTGTCCCGCAGCTGGTAGGTGTCGGTGGCTTCAATCTCCTTGGTCACCTCCTCCAGCCTTTCCATATGCGCCTTGGAGCCAGATCTGCAAGGGTGGGGAGCGGGGGAGATGGCATTCACCAACCTGGGTGGAGGGCAGGAAATCCTGAGGAAGCAGCCTGACTTTCTGTGACCTTCTCTGGCCGTTCTTACCTCTTTATGGAGGAGTAGTACTGGTCAATGAAGTCCTTAGCCAAGAGGAGCACCTCCTCTTTCGTCCTGGTATCCTCTGACTTGCGGACGTGCTGGCTGGGGGTCATTACGGAGCCCATGCAGATCTGCTCGGTGCACGCAGTGGTCTGGTGGGACAGAAGGAGGCAAAGCTGTGTGAGCAGGGCTGGGGAAAGTCAGAGATTAGCTGCCCAGGAGTTGGTGGTGTCTTTGACAAACCGGGATATTTCCAGCCCTGTTCGTTTTCACACCTATCAGTACTGTTGTGTAAGACACCTCGAGCGTGTGCAGTCACCTCCTGCAACACCTAATGCAGATGATTGAGGCTCATTAAATCTCATCCCAGCTCAACATAAAGCCCTATATGCCTTTTTTTGCTCCTCCCAGGGGGGACTCCCCTCTCACCCAGCTTATCGCGCCAGAGGTCTGAAATTCAGACACTACAGGAGATGAGGAGGTTGGCCTGAACTCATCCAGATCTGCATTTCTAAATTTCTAATTTTCTAAAACCATCTTGGAAACACCGTGATCGGCTCAGTTACACCCAGACAACTTTCAGACAGCCCTACCAACCCCACTCACCATCGCCGTCTTGAGGTGCAGAGTGTCGTGAAGCACGGCGCCCGTCTCCCAGTTCTTGATTTTGACGAACCGCGGGCACTTGGAAGGGCTCCCGTTCACCGCGCTCTTGGTCGGGGACTGCCGCCCCGACGGCGGCGGCTGGAGGACAGAGGAGGTTAGCATTTGTCAATGAAATACACACAAGGTTAACGTTTGTCAATTAAATACAGGAAAAGGGACACAACAAGCAGCAGCATCTTCCGCTAGTGAGTTAAAAACCAGACAGCAGTGACTTAGGAGAACGCCGCGTTCAAGCTTCCCAGCGGAAGACTTATCTCTCGAAAATGGATTGGATGTATCTTTTTCAGGAGCATCACCTGCTCGGGTTTTACACATGCCAAGCTCAGCCTCACCAGTATGAGCCCTCTGAGACAGAGCTAACAGCCGAGCGTTCCTCTGAGCAAGCCAAAGGCACGTCTCCTTCGATAACTACATTGGAAGAATGTCGGAATAAGGACGGATGCATTACACGGGTGGGAGGGCTACTGAATTATGCATACTCGGATCACTTCAGGCTCAGCTCCGAGCCTCCAGCCCACCCCAATATCCTGCGTCAGGCTGGGCTCATCCAGCACGTCTTGAAGGATATGGCAGCATACGGGAGAGGCTCGGCCAGCTTGTGCCGAGCAGAGCTGACTGCACCTTCTGTCTGCAAGCTCTGCTATTTGCACATGTTTTCAGAAATGTTTTCAGATACCATCAGATCCAATATGTGTGCTGCAACCCGCATTCCTCCACGCACTGGGAAGTTTCACGAGCAGCCGGTATCTGATGGTGTGCCACGGGGCATGAGATCCACGGTGGCCCTGGTAAACAGAGGCACTTCTGGAATTACAGCCTGTGTTTGGGTGTGCTTCATCCGCTGCCACTACAAAGGTATTGCTGGAGGTTTGGGGGGAATCCTGATCCCACACCGGAGCACCTTGTCAAAACCCACTTGGATTTGATGCTGCTTAAAGGTTTGCATCTCTGCAGCATAGATCCTGACTTGGACGGGGTTTGGGTGTAACCTGCCTAAGGGAACCTTGTAGCCTTTGAACCTTTCCTTCAGTTTCGCACTCCTTTGTGGTAGTCCTGCTTTGGGTCCTTGTCACCGTCGCAGCTCACAGAGCAGCAGCACCAGTGTAAATGTGGCATTGCAGCCTTCCTCCCTGAAGGACCAGGTGGAGAACAGCCACATGGTGGAAGAGCCTCTTGTTTCAGAACAAGCTGCTTTGCTGATGGGCAAACACAGGAGGGAAAGCCACAGGGGCCAGAAGGATGACAAAAAGAGATGAAATACAAGCACCACCACCAAACTTGCTCTTCCTCAACAGGAAGCCGATCCTGAACCACCAGGACAAATTTTTCCATCCTCCCTCCCCAGATGCACCCAAATCCCTTGCCAGTGTGATGCCTGGGCTGACACCGACTCCTCTGTAGGACCTTCTTTGGTCCTCACAGTTCCCAAAAGCTTACCTCCTCACCTTGCCTCCCCCAGACAGAAACCAGAAGTACCAGCTAAGGCAGCAAGTGCTGGCTGCATCCAGAAAGAGCGCGTTATGGACCCAGATGTAGGAATGACCCCATCTGTGGGGCAAGCACGCACAGGGTGCAAGCTCCTGGAGGATGGATACTTAACAGATGGTCTACCTTCAAGCTCCCTGAAAGCTGCTCCCTGGCCTTTTTGGCTCTTCCCTGCAGGCACTGATGGAGTTTGCATCCTTGCTGAAACAAGGCCACAGTGCTGGGGCAGGATGAAGCCCCAGGTGCCAGGGGCAGCCGAGGTGACACCACCTACGAGAAGCAGAAGCACCAAAACCCCACTGCAGCTGCACGGAGAGCAACACCCAGAAAAAAAACTGGGAAGGAGCCGCATGTGCGTATGTATGCCTTCCTTGCACGGCATTGCCGGAGCCAAATATTACCCCTGCTTCTCTCAGGGAGGCTGTGAGAGCTGCTTTCATGTTTTAATTAGGCAGCTGTGATATTAGTGACTCAAGAGTGGGACAAATGGAGGAGAGACTAACGGAGCAGTCGGGGCGTGTGCGTAAGATGCAGGCATCTACAAGGCACTTATCGGTGGTGTGCAGCTTGAGAGATGTCTCCGACTCTTACAGAGGGAGGGGAGAAAGGCACCCAGCCCTGCCTGGGGGCAAGGTGCCTGGACTGCAGGTCCTCAGCCCTCCTCCTGCATCCCCAGGTGCCAAATACCACCCTGCTGAGATGCATTGGCTATGGGGGACCCATTTTGGAGCACTTTGCTGGGTCGCAGGTCTGTTAGCATGCTGACATTTCCTTCCAGACTGCCTGAACTCCAAACCATGCTTTTTTTTTTTTTTTTTTTTTGTTTTCTTTTTTTGTTTTTATAAAGCTGTAAATCGTCCTTAAAGGCATGGAACTGCTGCGAGTCCCTTGCCCCGCTGCAGATGCACGCGCCCGCCCGCGTCGCCAACAAATCAATCCGTGCGGACTGAAATACGGCTGCAGGACGCGGGCTGGTGAAGTCACAGCATCTCCACATGGACCAGGTCTGGGGCTCCTGGGAAACCAGCAGAGCACACTGTGTGATTTTGGAAAAAAAAATAATTATAAAAAGAAAAACAAAACCAGACCCTGAGGAGCGATTGAAGCCCAACCGGTCTTTCAGCACCTTATTACAAGCCTCGGTGAGCACTCCCCACCTGGCCAAGCGACTCCACCAAATCCTGCTTTAGAGAACAAGGTGTATAAAGAGCTGCTGTTTGGCTTGGCTCGCCGCCGTGCTAGCAGTATTTATTGCAGCTTGCGGGGAGTTCAGCGAAACACCCGCTGCCCTTTCTTTCCTCCCGGCCGCAGGCATCCCCGGGGAAGGGCTGCGGGGAGCTGGGGAACCAGCCCTGCCTCCAGGGCTGGTGTGGGGATAAGAGGGATCAAAAGAAAGCCTGCACATCTAGCAGGGGGGGGTGGGGGGAAATAAAGAGTTTAATAACAGCTTAAGACCAGGGATTTTGGCAGCCCTAACACAGAGAGAAATTAAGCTCTGAACACAGAAGGTTATAAAGTGCTTATAGTAACAGACACGTACACGCACGGAGCTTAGCGAGGAGGCAGAAAGTCTGCAGCTATCCAGGAAGGGACCAGAGCAGCGACCTGTCCCTGCTGGGGTGGGATCCGGAGAGCTGCTGCAGAGCTCTAACCTTGTGCAGGGATGTGGGGCTGCCCAGGATGGCTCACTGTGAGCTGCACCCATTTACATGTGCCAGCATGGGGCAGTGACAGGTAATGCTGTCTGTACTGGCAGGATGGAGATTGTCCCTGGCCACATCGGAGCACCCAGCCGGGTGGGTTACAGCCGTGCAGCAAGCCTGGCACGATCAGCATCACCTTATGTGACCTCGCACCCTGCTCCTGGCTTTGCATCTTTCCAGTGCCTCTGAAATGGGAGAACTGGAAGAGCCACGACCCTGGAGGTGCTGCTGGGGATCGAGGTCGGGCTCAGCACCTGTGTGCCCGCTGCACTGGCTGCTGTGGTAGTCTGCATGTGGCAGGCAACGAGGAGCACTGCGTGGGGTGGCAGCTCCTTGGGAAGAGGCGTCAGCCCGAGGGATCTGCTGAGGGTGCTCCTGAGCTGAGAAAATATTGATTTTCTCGGAAATCTTCATGTGACCATGAAATCACTTTTCTCCCCTCCCCTGAAGAGTACAGCTTGATCCCGACAAGTAAGGTGGGGAGATGCATGCAAGAAGAACATGTAGTCCCTGGATCGGTCCCCCATGTCCTGACCCGCTGCTGGTTAATCCCATTGGGGCGACGCATTTGGCCGCCCAGGCAGGGCCACGGTCACGGGTATCGTGTTTTCCCCAGGGGGATCCTGCCTTGTGTCTCTGGCTTGGCTGCAAACAGGGAGCTAATCCATTTCTGGCAAGGAAGCCTGAGAATTTATGTCTGTGGAGCGTGAGGAGATGAAAAGGCGCAGTACAACATGTTATCTGAAGTGCTATGTTGAATTACCATCACATAAATCAAAACGACCTTAACGAGGCGGCTCAGATTTTTGCCACCTAAAGGGCCAACGGTCTCAAGGGAGGTTTTGGAGACGTGGTCCCTGGCTACGCTCCCGTTCCACCTTGGCTCCTTGGATGAGGAGCATCCTTCTCCAGTAATACGTGCCCTGTCTGAGCCCTGGGGAATTCAGCTCCTGGACCACATGGGCTCTGGGCACCACTGACCCCAGGTCTTGGGACCATGGGTCCTCAGGACAACCCGGGCAGTCCTTGCAGCCTCTCTGCAGTGTGAGAGCCCCCCAGGAGGGCTCCACACCCCACAACCCGTCCCCACCCAATGCAGCACAAGCAACGGGCTCTTACCTGCTCCGCTTCGGAGTAGGGGTTGTTGAGGACCACGGGCGCGTTGCTCTTCCCCCACAGGTCACCCACAACACGGTCGTTCTCCATCCGAGCCGGCAAGGCTTTCTGCAGCTTGTTTTCCCCTTCCCTGAAACTGAAGGGTTAAGAAGCACTGGGGTGGGCGGGCTGGGGACACGCGGTGGTGCCAGCCGCCGTCACTCCGGGTTCTGCTGGAGTCACTTCCCACGGGAGCGAAAACCCAGGCGTCCCACCAGGGGAGGGGAGGGAACGCTCTGCCTTGGCCAAGGCGATGAATCACTCCTGCGAGGGCAACCCAAGCACGACGGGCATTTTGTTGCGTGGGGGAGCACTGTGCTGGCACAACAACAGGAGCCCTGTGCCCCGCGTTCGGCCAGGGGACGTTGGCGTGCCTGGCTCCCAACCTGGCACCCCAAAGCGAGACCACACCACCCCTGGTGCTTGCTCTGTGGGGGTGACGTGCCAGGCTCCCTGCCCCCCAAAATCAAGCTGGCTCCATCCAGAGCCCTGCAAAAGCAAGCAGAGAGGGGGGTGAAGGAGAGCCGTGCGCATTTCTAGCTGCAAAGCCTCACGGCAAAACCGGCTGGGTTTGCAGAGAGCAGGTTGGTGTTGATGAGTGGAGGAGAAGAATAAAAAAAAAATAAAACACAAGGAAAAGTAGGCGCTCCCAGGAGGCAGAGGCAGCGCTCTCTCCTCTTCCTGACCTTTACAGATGCTGCAAATGCCGCCGTGTGCGAGCGGTTTTACCCGGGCGAGTCTGTTCAAGCAAACAGACGGCTCGCCTACACGGAGTACATCTGTAAGGCTGGGGGACGAGGGTGTCCCTGGTGCTGGCTGCCCCTGCCTGCACAGTAAGACGGATGTAACGCAGGGAGCACAGTGTGTGCCGCACACCTTGTGTCTGGGGAGCGTCCGCGGGATGTTAGCGAGGCTGCTAAATGCCATCCAAACAGGTGATGGAAAACCACTGCCATAAAAACCCGCACAAAGGAGAAAAACAAATGGGGTTTGGAGACTTGACACCCAGCGCACGCAGGCTGCAGCATCCAGGCTGACGAGAAGGCTCCAAAAGCCCTGTGGATACCCCAGACCGGGTCCGGCACAGCAGCACCACTGCTTTGCCCTTGCTCAACAGCCCATCATCGAGCTAACGTGCTCTGGCAATGGCTTTGCTCCGGCTGCCACTTCTTAAAACTCTTCCAGATGCCCACTGGAGTTACTAACGAGCCTCCTCATTAACAACGGCAGGCTCTGGGCACTGACCAAAGCAGGACGCTCACGCTCGGGACATAACTCACAGCAGCACGGTGTTCCTGACACCATCTCAAGGAGACACATACGTACAAACAAATCCAGCTTCAGGACCTCCCTCACCCTCAGCTCACGTCTTTAGGTGAAGCTCAAGCAAAATACTTCATTTAAGGGCTCTCTCTCTATGCTCTAACTTTTTATCACTTTTTTCCTGCATTCACAGAGCGATGCTCAGCTGCCACAGTATCACACCCAGGTCCTGGACATCTTCCCAACATTGGCTGCCTTAGGGTGGCCAACGTGGTGCAAGATAAGGGGTACAGGTGCCACAGGGCAGCTTGTACCCAGAGTTGTACCCCCTGCTGCTTGGAGAAGAAAGCAATTCTTCTGCACCGTGGCTGGTATGTGAAAGGCTGCCCATCAGATAAGGCACAGGGAAGCACAAACCATGCAGCCACAGCAGGTGTTGGGACCTTACTGCATGGCAGAGCACCTGGCGGCCACACTGGGGTGCAAGGTGTGGGGATGTACACCCCATCAGCCCCATGCTTGCTTGCTGAGGGAGAAGAGGAAGAGCTCTGCTAGATGTCCTCCAACCCGTGTGTAGGCTGCTCTAGATGCTCGGCTTTGGTGCCATCCATGGGATGTGCACCACAGATTTGGGCATTGCATCAGGGCCCATGTCACTGCTTTCCCCTGCTGGCTGCCAGCCGAAACCAGGTCCTCAGGAGACAAAGCTGCTGAGACCCCGCTCACGTCCCTGCCCTGGGGAGCCACGGCAGCCCCAGGAGATACAGCCCTGCTTTGCTCCACACAGTACTGGCACCAGTTTTGCCTTGGCCACTCTTGGTGTTGCTGGGGACCCCCACGAACCACACGCCCTGCCCTCTGCCAGCCCACCAGGGGCTCCGGATGCATTCAGCCTGCCTCCATCCCAGCAGCAAGGCAGAAACATGAAAACGCAGCTCTTCCCCCCAAGACAATCCCAAGACAAATCTGGCTCATCCCCCCAAGACAAGCCCAGCTACTGAACCTCCTGGAGAACACTTTTATTCCCACAGCTGTACGTTCCTGCCCTCTTGCCTTAAGCCCCATCATACCAAGGAGCACGGAGCTGGCCAACACAGAGCCCATGGGCACCAAAAAATGATGGGCATGCACAACGCATCTCTTACAGCTGATGAGCATCCATGTCCTGCTCTGTAACTGGCCCAAAACCCGAGGCACAAGCCCGAAATCTGTAAGGTGATGGAAGAAATCCCTCAGAGCCTGGGGCTGAGCAGAGGGAACCAGCCCCATGAGGGGCCACGATGCCCCTCCAGCAGCACAGACTTTGCCTCTGTGCAAAGAGGCTTGGGCAGGCAGACCCCAGCGTGCCAGATATCCAGCAGGCACCTCCAAAATGACACCGAACGCATGCCTGCATGCGCCTGGCACGACTCGCTGCTTGCAGAAAGGTGTCTGCAAACCCGTCTCAATGGGTGCCTGCCGGCACGAGGGAACCTCGGGGAGGAATCCATCAATCGGCAGCGGCCGCCGGAGGACGCGGCTGGGAGGCTGCAGGCGTAATCTCATTGTCTGCACCACCAGCAAAGCTGTGAACGCTGGTACCTGTGCCAACGGCACAGAAAAAGACCAGATGCTCGAATTAAGTCATCGCCATCGTCGGCAGCTTCGTGCATTAGAAGTAGGACGGGTTTGCTGGAGCCAGCCCCAAAAGCAAGAGGCACCGTCCCTGGGCACGGTGAGGTCCGGGCGGGCACCGGGGGTGGATGCTCAGGACCTGGATGCTCAGGACCTGGCACGTTTGCAAGTGGGACAGCACTGGGTTGCACGGTGCTATTTAGGCTCGGCAGCAATATTGTGCACAAGGCAGCGAGGTGCTGCCCCCAGACAAAAAAAAATAAAATAAAAAATTAAGTGAAAGTGCAGCTTCAGCAAAGCCATCAGCCGAAGCTGGGGGCGCATTGCCTGCCTCTGCCCCGTGCAAGGAAGGCTCTGTCCCTGCAGCACTGCTGAGCTAGAGCAGACCTCCTTCGGATGCACACAAGTATCCGGCTCTTTCAGAGACAGAGGAGAGAAAAGCCCATTCAGAGCCACCACAGCCTCACCCCATCCTAGCCCAGATGGGGGGGAGAAAAAATAAAAATAAAATCAATTGCTTCATTATACAAATATTTCCTGCCCATTTCTTGCAACTGCCTTGTGTGAGAGCTCAGGCAGGAATGGGGTCTTTTGGGCCCGTCCTTTTCCTCTCTTGGCCCGGCTTCACAGCCAGCAGCAGAGCCGTGGGGCGAGCCGCCCACGCGCGCACAGGATGGTCCTGGCGGGGCAGCCAAAATCCTACAGCCAGGCTCAGCCTCCGGACGTGTCCAAAAGCATTTAGCGATGGGTGAGCCGATGGGGCTGCTCCTCCTGCTGCTTCCTTCGGAGAAACCCTCCCAACTTACCCTCCAACCTGACCTGCACGCGTGGATCCAGAGCAGGTTTTTCGGAAGGGACCCCGCCTGTTTGTTCTGAAAGCAAAATTTGTTGCTTAAAAAAAAGGCAGAGGAATCCTGTCCTCCCCCACCCATGCAGCTTGCTGTCTCACCTCGGAAAGAGCATCTGGCTGTTTGGGAAAATGAGAGGCACCACTGTTTTCTTTTGACTAATTTGATGATGTTGCAGTGCTCACAGTGATGAAGCAGAAAGGAAGTTGCTGAGAACAGCCCTTTGAGAAACGTCTCCAAAAGCTTTTCCGAAAAGGAAGGGGGGGGGGAAATAATAAATAAATATATGAGCAAAAAGAAATTCGTCACTCCACTCCTTTGAATTTGCTTGGCAGAAGGATCTCTCTGATTTCCCAGGCAGAGGAGAGAGGCACAACTGGCTGCTGCCATCCCCGGGGGCAGTTTGGATGGAGCGAGGAAGACGCGGATGTCCACTGCTGCCAGGCTCCTCCAAGCCCTCATCCCAGCCCCTGGAAACCCTAGGCTGTGCTTGGGACCCTCGTGTGAAGCTCACCCATCAGCTGTAGGAGGGAAACACCTTGCTTTCTTTGCTTCCTCCCTCCTGGGTTGTCCTTGGGGATTGCAAGCATGAGCCAAAAGCAGAAGGAATCGCTTTGAAAGGCGGTTTGTGCTCCCCGCAGCAGGTGGCTGCAGGAGCAGCAAGGCAAGAAGTTCCTTCCTAAATGAGAAAGATGAATTCTGGCTGCACCGAAAAGAAGGGACAAAGCCAAACCGACAAGGATGTGGCGTGGCAGGAGTGTGGGGCTCAGCCTCACAAGGCCAGGGGCATCGCTGCGCTGTGCCCTCTGCAGGAACCGGGGATGGACGAGCCAAGCAGCCCCGGAGCGAGGCCGTGCTATGAAACACGAGGGTGCTAAATGTGATGGAAGGGGCGCTGGCAGATAAAGACCTGGGAACAGCTCCCGGTGTCCCAGCTGGTCCCAGCATCATTCGAGATGCTGCCAGTGTCAGATCCGACCCGCAGCTGCTGTCCTTGCCCCTTCCCAGCCATGCCCAAAGAGCACCAAAAGGATTTCAGCACCCAAAGGGCTGAAAAAGCTTGAGCCCAGCCCAGGTCTGCCAGTTGGGCTTGCTGGCTAGGACCAGGCACAAGGACAGGGTCTGTCCCCAGTGCTCACATGGCATTGGGGTGCAGCCCTCTAATCCCCAAAACACAAGTTGCCACCCCCACGTCGGTGCTGTCCCCACTGTTACACCTCGGTGCAGAGTCCCCGAAGCGGTGCTGGGTCTCAGAGGGACAAGGACAGAAACCTGACACCCCGCTAGAAGGATGTTGAGGGGTCTCCAACGGGGTATTTTGGGGTGGAATTTGCTGTTTTCAGGCACTAAACACCGCTCTGGCTGAGCCTGATGGAGTCAGGGTGGTGAGGAGGAAGAATCCGCGGAGGGAGAAGGGGAGGAAGAAGAGGGTTACTCACTGCCAAAGCTTCCTGCCTCAACGCTTTGAAAAATAACATGATAGATCCAGGGAACCTTTTCATTTCAGAGGTTTTAAAGTTTTGTGTCCAAGTACAGAATAATGAAGACATCAGAAATGCAAATGAAATGTTTTGAGCAACACAAAGAGATTTTGGCGGCGGCGAGGGAGGTGGGAGGAAGAGAATTTTCTCCTCGAGAACTGCAAAATTATGGGGTTTGTTCCAATGCAGGATGGAGCCTGAAACCCTGAAACCCTTCATAAACAGAACTCCTGCTCTCAGCACACTTCTCCCTCTCAGGGCTGCTGATGCTGCTTTTTGGCCCCCAAAGTGCCATGCTTCCATCACGCCGCTCATGTTACGGAACAGACCTGGGAAGAAAAACAAATACTGGCAACTTGGTGGGGGGAGAGGGAGGGAAAGATGGGACATGACAATCTCCCTAGAGCTCAGAGGGAAAAACAGACCTAGGTTAGCTGGTGGGGAGTGAATCAAACTCTATTTTTATTTTCTAGCCCACGGTGAGCCTCATGGCAGAAATGCCAGTTCTCATCATACCTTGCTCCCCACTTCCGTGCTCTGTCTTATGATCAACCTCTTGGCAGATGGTTTGAGCCATGGAGCAGACATTCAGCTGTGGTCATGGCCCGTCCCATGGGCATGCACCGTGTCCGCGGGGCACCTCACAGGCAGAAATCAGCAGGGAGCAAAAGCCAGGCCATGCAGGGGCAACATCCCCAGGGAGCACAGCCCCCGGGCACAGGGGATGGGGATGAAATGATTTTTTTTTTTTCCCCCAATGTAAACTTCACAGCTTCCAGTTTTTCTTGCAGGAAGCAACACGGGCACCAGGTGCAATTTGAATCCCTTTCGGCCCACCTTGACCGAGAAGTGTTCGGCTGCTTGCGAATAACCTCAGCCTTGCGCCATCCCTTCGTGCCCTGGGAAAGCTGTCAAAGCTCTGCGAGCCCGACTGGCTTTGACAAATGCTGCTGGCGGTGAAGGTCAGCACCAGGCAAAGACGGAGACAGAGCGGGGTTGGACCCAAGACCAGCATCTTCACCTGGATCATGGTCAAGTGATCCGGGCTGGAGGTGTAAGGCTCAGCCCTGAGCGAGGATTTGAGCCCTCCTGCTATTTAGGCAGAGCTCTGTTCCTGTTTTGATTGACCTCAGCTCTGCTTGGTCCCTCCAGCCTGGAGAAGTCCCAGCCTAGGGCACCAGAGCTGCATCAATCCGTCAAGGCTTGCTTATTTTTTTGGGCATTTCTTTGGCATCGAGCACCGCGGTCTCCGCGGTGATCCGCTCCCTGTCGCTCCCTGACCTTCCTGCACTTCTCCAGACCAAGCAAACTCTCCCTCTAGAAGACCTTCACCATGCCCCAGCTCTGTCTGAGACCAAGCAGAGGAAATAAACCATCTGCAGCACGTCTCAGGAGCAGGAGAGGCAGCCGAGCCGTGCCCTTTCCCCTGCAGAGCAGCCTCCAACACATCCTCCCGCAGCGCATCCCCTTCCCCGCTCCCCCCGAGCACCCCGGTCCTCTCCCTCACGGAGCCCTACTCCAAGAGCTGGGCTGCAGCTTTTCATCGGGCAGAAGATTGAAGGCTAATTTTGCTCAAAAAGTGGATTTTCAATTCCAAGCCACTTTTATAAATATATATCTAAGATATTGAAAAATAAAGTGAGTCGAGCTTTGGTGAAGTACCCACTTCGCTGATTTTTTTTTTGTTGTTGGTTTGAGATCCTTCAGTTTAAGTGAATTTAAACTGTTTCTGTGTAATCTCTTGAAGAGCAGAAGAGATCCCTCTAAGGAAAAAACACCTTTTTCATCTCTCCTCAAGCCAGAACAGAATTTCCTTGGCGAGCCTGCAGCTGCTGGGCTGGGAAGAGGGACAGGATGGTGAGGCTGCACCTTGTGGCAGGGCTTGGGACCGTGCCCCCCAGGGCTTCTGAGCTTCTTGCAATGCACAATGAGCACTCCAGGGAGTGTATTTATGGGGTGAGAGGGAGAGCACTGGCCAGAAATGCTCAGATGGCCACAAAAATATTTTCTCCCCAGTTTTTGCATAGCAAAAAACGCACGTCTCTGGTGCTGGGTGCAGCGTGCGGGGCCCCAAAATGTGCGTGGCGGGGGGATGCTGCCCTGTCCCATTGCCCATCCCAAAACTCTGCTGGCATGGGGCAGAGCAGATGTGTCCTGCCTCACTGTGACAGCCCCAACACGCTTTGAGCAGCCGCGTCCTCCGCATGGAAAACGCACGATGTGGGTGAGCAGAAGCAACAACAAAACAACCACAAATAAAGAAGGAGATGAAAAGCCTACACTGGATGTGGTGGGAGCAACCTCCTTCTTCTGATTAAAAAAAAAAATGAATCCCTTTTCAAAATCTGTTTTGTAAACAGCTTTTTTCCCCCTCCCTAAGGAAGCAAGGAAACTTGAAGCTACAAATCCTACTGCCACCAAACCAAGGTCGCCAGCTCCAGCAACCCCTCCTGCCGGTCCCATCCCGTCAATAAACGAGGGCAGGCACCGCATGCTGCGGCACTTGGCACGGCCCTAACGTGTTCAGGGACTCGGGGAAAGTGACAGGAAAAAGCAAAGTATCATTGTTAATACGTGGCCAGGAGGCAAGAGAGCTGTTATGGAAAAATCACGATTGAGAACCCGAAGCACCATGGGGAGACGCACCGTGTCCCCCCATAAACACCCCTGGGGAAACGCCGAGGAGGGGAAGGATGTCACTGTGTGCACAGCCCCGTGCAGGGCAGGCAGCAAAGATGCAGCCCCCAGCTCCAAACCCCCGACTTCACCCTCCTCAAGAAGCCATAGGGTGAGCGTCCGAACGTCCCCACCCTTGTCACACACATACACGTACTGAAATTATTAACTAGATCGAGAAGCAGGGGCAGAACACGCAGCTCTGCTGTCGGGTTTCGGCAACTGGTGGTGGTTTCTGAGCACTCAGAGGGAAACCTGTCCCCTTCCCTCTGCCCCGAGCACGGCAGCACCCAGGGCAGGTCCCGCTGCCTGCATGGGGCTGCCCCTGGCTTCAGCAGGAGCCGGGATGGAGCTCTCCGTATCCCTCCCGAAGCCAGAACCCCGTTGACAAATGACACAGAAGGTGCTGAGAGCCATTTCTCTCCTCCTGCTGCTCTGACCTTCCCTCTCCCTGCCGTTAATCAATAGCAGATTTAAACCGGAGGGCTCCGGAGCAGAGCAGCCAGGACAGCCTGTGCCACGAGTCTTATTTTCCAAGGGGAAACCGAGGCACAGGGTCTCGTTTAACACTTGCAACCTCTGAGACTGAGAAAACAGAACAGAAAAAAATCCCCAGCCCATGGTCCCCACATCGCACATCAGATCAGCTTTTCCATTCCTGACCTGCTCCCAAATTTTCCTTTCTTTTGTCTTCCCCTCACCAACCTCACCCTACTCTTCTCATGCCCCTTCCTCTCCCGTCTCCATCCTGCCCCGTTACGCAGCAATTTCTGGACAGATGCTCCCTGGCCCCGCAACATGCCATGGTGAGTGACCAAAACCGGCACATTTCAACAAAGCTTTAAAAAAAATATATGAATTATATATATATGTAGGGACCTACCAGTCTACCTGGACTTCTATATCTCTTGTCTCTACCTTGCAGGGCGCATCTCCATCGCCGTCCTTACTGCTGCTCTTCAGGAGATCCAGGACGGGCTCGATCTCCTTGAGCAGCTCGTTGTCTTCCACGCCGCCGTTGAGGCACAGGTGGCTGCAGGCACTGTCCTTCCCCTTGCCACCGTCCTGCCCCTTGGGGCTGGGAACGACGCCGTTCACGTGGACCATCGGCTCCTCTCGCCCCGTCTCCCTGGCCCACAGGGAGCCCATGGTGCGGGCGGCTGCTGGCAGTGGCTGCTCCTTGCCCTGGAGGTTTGGGTTGGATAGGTCGACCCCTTTCGGCGTCGGGCACAGGGGTCTGGTGACACGGATGGTTTTCGGCGTCCCGTCGCCGGTGAAAGTGGTCTCCAGGTGCGTGGTGAAGCCCTCGGGGCCCCGCAGGATGAGGACCACGTAGGTCTCGGAGGCGATGCTTCTCAGTATCTCCAGCGCAGCCTCATAGCTCACGTCCACCAGGGGCCTGCCATTGACGGCTAAAATGATGTCCCCAGCCTGGATGAGGCCGCTCTGCTCGGCGGCTCCTCCCCGGATCAGGTCGGAGACGATGACGGGCGGCTTGCTGACGCGCTCCTTCACCAGGAAGCCCAGGCCCCCCACTTTGCGTTTGAAGAGCCTCACCGAGATGACGTTGGGCTGTATCTGCTGCACGCTGAACGTGCCCTCTTCCATGGCAGCCTGCGTCACCAGCCGGCAGGCCAGGAGCTCGACACTCGCTGAGTGCTGAGATTTGGGGAGCTGGGGGTCGGTTAGGCTCTTACGTGCCTCGTCTCACTGCAAAACACCTCTGGGCTTCAGCTCCAGGCTGGATTTTTGCAGCATCCTCATCCCGGTCTCACCGGGAGAAAGAAGCAAGGCGAAGGGCAGGGTGGGCAGCTCCAGGCATCGCTCACCGAGCAGGGGCCGGGGGGTTCGACATGCCGGCTTCGAGTCAGCCTCTGGTCCTGGGGGCTTGGAGGCAGCCCACACGCCACACGAGCATCCCCACGGGTTATTCAGCCTGCAGGCGGGCCACGAGCTGCTTTATCTAGAGGAGGAAAAGACAACAAAGGAGAGAGAAAGAAGTGACGTGGGGTGGGCGCAAAGTGCCACGGGTGCCCACGTGCATCAGCCCGTCCCCGCAGATGTCACCCCCCGGGTGCCTTCGGAGCCAGGCTTCAGCCTCGCGTGGCCCCAGGCTCCCTTTCCTCCGCTCCCCCTGCAAAAATAAAAAAAAAATCAGCACCATCTGTTCAGCAGGGGATGCAAAAGGCATTGAGAAAGGGAGTGCTGGGAAGGGGCCATGGGACAGCCCGGCTCCAACCTCTCCCTGCTTTGGTTTGAGCACAAATGCCCGAGTGAGTTGCATGAGCCAGAGCAGCGTGGTGCTCAGCGTGGTGCTCAGCAGGGCATCCTGCTGCTCTCTGCCTGCGCTTTGCACAGTCCCCACCCTGATGCTTGAGATGGGTCGGGGTGAGCTGGATGCTCCCTGCCCAGGACGAACCCAGTTCCATGGGCACCTTCCCACCGAGCCCCTTTCACCGCGTCGAGGGAATGAGCAGCAGCCAGCAGCAGACTGAGGCAGGAGAGGACAGCCAGCTCCTCTTACCGGGGTTGCTCCGAGTTATTTACACTGACAAGTGCTTTTAAGCCTGGCTGAAGGGCTCACAGCCTCAGCTCCTCCTCTCCCACATCCCAACCCCAACACGGGGGTGCAGATGCTCAGCTGGGCTCCCCCCGTGCCCAGTTCTGCACAGCTCCCAAACCAACCGGTGGGAAGTCATCCGGAGGCGAAGCAGGGAGTTCAGCCGGCCCTCGGGGGACCCCGAGCATCTGGGCATGACTTTCTACAGCACCCGGGAGGCTTGGGGAGCCGCGGGTCGTTGCCTCCTGATGGAGCTGTGTGCTTGCGCTGGGTAACGTCAGCTCCCAAACTCTCTCTGCATTCCCTGCACACTTCTGAGGTGCCCTGGGGAACGTTTTGCTGTGGGGCTGTGCGTTTAGCAGCAAGCTGAAATGCAGATGCCTTCTTTTTTTTCTTTTTCAATCTGAATTTTGGGGAGAAAATGGAGGGTACTAGGTCTGCGATTGAAAGCACCGACATGCCAAATCAGTCCAAATCAGTCTGCTGTCCCCCAGAGTATCACATTCAGGGGGTTTGCACCTTCGAGCACCCCACACCAAGCACCCCGTGCCCCATGGGGACCCCAGGACGCAGCTGCAGGCTCAGCAGGGCTGATCTCCACAAAGCCATGGGCTCAACTCCAGCACCCGGCTGGGAAAAAACAGGGATCTGAGAGGCAGGGCAGTGCCACCAGCCCCGGCACTAACTCACTCGGGCATTTTAATCCGCGTGTGACGAAGGCTGCTGACCCCAGAGCGGCTCTTTACAGGCAAGCAGAGAACAAAGCAAAGACCCGTAACCCCATGTGAAGGATTTAATCCCCATTGCCCGTCTGATATTTCCCAGCCCCTCCATCCCATTTCCATCAGCACCACTGAGGGTGCCCGATGAACCAGCCGAGTGTCCCTCAAGGGGCTCCTTGTCCCCATGCAGGTTCTTGTTCTCCATCCTCCCACTGCCACCAGCACGCAGTAGGGTCCCTGCACCCCCCAGCCCCACATCCCCTGTGCAGAGGAGGTCACCACGACCCCACCACCGTGCAGGATTTGTTCCCTATGCGATGCAAGAACAAACAAGGCTTTGGGAGCCACGTGAGTACCACGCGATGTGGGACCACCAGCCTCCCTGGCAGGGGAAAACCCTGTTATTTGCTCTGCATTAGTCACTGCCTCCACGATGCTCATGAACCCGATGCAGCCGGCTGTGTCCGTGTTTGCAACAAGCCCAGCACCAGACCCATGGTGCCATACCCTCTGCGAGCAGACCTGTTGCAGCTGAGCCCCCCCAGACCCAGCACACACTGCCGACAGCCCCCAGGGCACCCGGCAGCCCCGAGGACCTTTCCAGCACTCCCAGGAGCCAGAGCAAGGGGAAAAGTCACCGTGCTGCAAGTCAGCCTGTCAGCACACACACAGTGCCAGTGTTTTCCTGGACACCCGGTAGAGGCTGTGTCTCATCTGAGTGTTTGTGCTGCCAGCTGCAAACCAGCATCGCCAGCGATCCCAGCCAGCACCGGCTGCCTCCAGCCTGCAAAACCCCCCGGGAGCGATGGCACTGCTGGGCGCACAGCTCTCCCCACCCAGAAGCCCCCCGACGGCATTCCTTGATGATAGGAAGAGAAGGAAAAAAGGAGATGAAAGGAGAGACCTTTCAGCCAGCTCGGGGTGAGCACCAGCGTGCCCTGTACCTGTCTGTACACCCCCAGCTCTCCAGCTCCCCTGGGGAGGAGGTGGAGGAGCATTTCCCAGCTACAACACCTCGCACCATATCAAAGCTGCGGGGAGATGCTGTCTGCTGGCAGTGCGGGTGCCTGGGCGCAGCTCTCCCTACAAGCATCATTAGCAGCCTGATTTATGAACCCAAGGGCAAGCAGCACGTTCGTCAGGTTGTAGATTTAAAGCTACCGGCTGTCACGTCCTACTCCTTAGAACTGGTGCAGCGAGCAGCGTGTCGCTGCGGGTGAGCACTGCTCGCCTGGAAATGCTTATTTCAGCCTGGAAAGGGAGCTGAGAAGGGGATGATGCCACAGGCAGAGCCAGGCTCACCCCCTGCTGAGCCAGCCCCGTGTATTAAGCACCCACAGCCAGTGTGGTCCAGCTCTCTGCCTCAGTTTCCCTCCCCTTCCAAAACATAAAGCAGAGGGAAACCAACCCAAATTACCGAAGAGCAGCAAACCCTGCAGAGCTGCAAGCTTCTAACACTTCCAACCAGCATCACCAAAGCACTCTCTCCTGTCTCAACCTGCTCCCATGCTGATGAGATTTTTTTCACTAGTGTGACCCAGCGCAGGACACGGCACAGCACGTGTGCCCCCGCGGTGGCACTGATGGCACTTGGCAGCTCCGAGGGCATTCGCTTAAGGACCAACAATCCTCATGCCAATAGAGAAAAATGTTCTGAGCCGCCAGACAAGGTTCCGAGCAAGAAACCGCATTACACATACATTAATTGGGTGATTCGATTTCAGAAGATGGGCAGAGGAGAAATCCATCCTCTGCCCTTAGCACGATCTCTCCCCCATCGCAGGCACAGGCAGCCCCCAGGTGTGGGCACCGGCGTGCCCCTGCCCTCACAATTCGATTCCGAGCCTTGTCTCTCGTAGATCTTCACCGCAGTAATGGCTTACATTTCTACGTGCCAGCTTTAAATGGACACCATTGTCTTATTTAATTAGTTTTCGTGGGATTTATGCCGCTCCACGAAGAACCCCAGGGCTGATGGATTTATGCCCATTTAATTTTTACAACCCGTGGAGCGTCAGTGACTCTGATGAGGAGCAATGGGACGCAACATATGCACAGTTACTGTAAACCGGCATGTTTGTGCATCTGAAAATGGAGCATTAAAGTGATTCACTGGCAGGCAGCTCGTTCATGCCAGCACTTCTGCGCTCGACTCCCGTTCGGCTCAGACCGGCGCCGCGATGTATGTGTGTGCGCGGCCTCTCCATCCCCAGCACGCAGACGGTTTCCCCCAGCTATCTCCATTTATCCACCTCCCACCGACCTGGCTGATGACCTCCTGGGAAGGAGTGAGCCCTCCCTCCTGCCCAGCTCCACTTCTCCTTCCCGTGCTTCTCCTCCCCAACCTGTGCACGAGGCTGGGAAGTGGCCGTTTCGCCTGGGCCACCATATTTCCTTCACCTACACAACAAAGTTGATTTACACCTAGGTGTGAATTGAATAAAAGAAGCCTTTTGACACCTGCACGATGACTTCGTGGTAGTGCCCAGCTCCAGGTGATGCTGCAGGGCTTTGTTACGGGGAAAGCAAAACGTTATGTTTGCTCATCAGCCAGGCTGACGCTCACAGCCTTCAGGCAGCACAGCCCCAAATCCTCCTGACCCACCCATTTATGTGGCAGCTGGCACAAGGTTTTGTGCCCGTATGAATTTCCATTCTCATCCCAACCATCCCTCTATGGGGGAATTCAGCAGCCGAGCAAAGCCCGGTCCTGCCTACACATCATCCTCATGGTGGTCATCTCGGTGCCGAAACTTCACCGGGATTCAGCACTGCACCCGTGCCCCTGCCCCACCTGGAGCCGACCACAGCCTGCAAGGCAAGCGGTTTTAATGTTGCCAAGACAACTGTGTTGACAAAATTCCCTTTTTTTAGATGACGGAAACAGGGTTTTGTTTTAATTTAGAGTTCAAGGCTGAGCATATTTCAGCAACACGACTGCCGCTTCTATTTTACTGTTTGGTGCAATATTTTCTCGGCGCCTGCGGTGTGCGCTGAAACAAGAGTTTAGATAAAACCGTCAGTCCTGCCACTAACCCCGTCTCAAACTGATGTTCCTATTAGGGCTCGGCCCATCTGTAAAACATAAATTTCACTGCGATCAATTTGCCGAGAGGACTGGAGTTACACCAGCGATTCCGCTTTGACAAATGAGAGCCGCGTTAACACAACGACGCTTCGCCCCAAATGACAAAATAGGTAGATGGGAAATAAATGAGAAAACGCCGTGTGATGGATGGCCTTGAAACCCAATCCCAGCACGAGAGAGGAGTCGTGGCTCCATTTAGAAAAAGAGAAAAAGGGAATTTAAGATCGCAGCAGGTTGGCTCGAGCTGTAATAGCTCCGGAGCCGCCAGCGGCATCAATAACACCCGTGGCAGAGCGCGCGCCTTGGAGGCATTGCAGGAGTTTGGCTCCAGGCTCGGCGCAGCTCTGCTCCCGTCCCCTCCTTCACTGCTCCCCCAAATCCCTCCAGCACCACGTTACGTTTCCCTGCTGTACCGAGGGAAGCAGCCCGATCAGGGCGATAAATGGCAATAAGCCTGATCGTCACCGACTTCCACCACCAGTGACTCACGTCACTATTTAAGACTCTCAGAAAATACCAGGCTCCTCAGTCCTGCTGCCTCTTTCCAGCAGCCAGAGGTGCAGGAGATCCAGGGGTGCAGCTCCCTGATGCCT